CACTAAGAGCGACTAAAGGCTACACAAGCGTTCTGTCGTTATCGGAAAATGTATGGCTTATAAGTTGTCATTACTCATTAGTGAATGCGCGTATACATGAAACTGTTTTTTACAGTTTCAATATTAGTTTGTAAATCTCTGAATGGTAAAACTTGCCAATACTCCAATAATACGTTTCAACAAAAGACAAAAAAGCTTTAGTTTTGCAGAGTTAAATTCTCAAACGTGTAAGGCAATAATAAGATGAAAGTATCACGAAATTATTTGAATAAACCACATCGCATATATGGGGGGCGAATGTCCTAAAGAGGGGCGATATTCCTAGGGTATTCGCCCCACCCCCCTGGGAGGCGATATTCCTAGGATACTAGGAATATCGCCACGTTTTGAAGGGGGGGCGAATTTCCAGGGGGGGGGGCAACCTTTTTAAAAATTCTATCTTGCCCCCCCCAAATTTGAGTTTGCCCCTCAAATGCCCCCCCAAATTTGGAAGCCTGGCGCCGCCACTGGGAATCTTACCACAATGAAACGAAGATCAACTGTTTTGTTTCCAAGTTTTGGTAATCCAAGCTCATGCTTGACCAGCATTCTATATAAAAAGATACAAACATGTTGAAGATTATGTTTGTCTCTGAATGTGTCCACACCGGGCAAGTTGAAAAGTTTGCTTCACCGTGGTTGAAATCGAACCCTTGACGTTTGCTTTGCTAGTCTATGGTCTACTAGCAAAAAAACATTAAATGCCACCTCTTCATATGTGATTTAGATGTTATATGTAAACAACGAGTTTGAGTGTTTCATCAGGGGATCCAAACACAAGAAAACTGTATGAAACACGAGCGCAAAGCGCGAGTGTTTTATTGTTTTCGAGTGTTTGGTCCCCTGATGAAACACGAGAAACGAGTTGTTTACACAACATCTCAAACGAAAACATTTCATTGGCTTATATATATTATTATAGTATATTGTTGTGTTTTGACTTGAATTTGTAATTAGGATCTCAGTTATTAGATGAAAACCGTTTTTCATCTAACAGTGATGGTATATGATTTTTAGCGTTTTTCCTTGCGGTATCCAACCTCAATCATGTGACGAATTAGGGTGAGTTCATTCGCTAATTTGCTCATGAATTATTAATGAGTTTGAGATTACAGTATCCAAGAGTACTTCATTGTAGAATAGTCCTAAACGAAAAATTGAAAACATTACTTGCACTTGGAAGGAAAAACCTCCCATAGCAAGTTCAGGATAGGAATAAAACAAATCATTTGAAAGTCATGCGCAATCTTCGCAAAAATTCCTCATGCTACTAAGGGGGGGGGGGGGAATATTTTCACGAAACGTTTGTTCGCCACCACAGCAATTCAAGTTAGTTTCAACTAAATATATTGTATTTATTGCATTTTATGATTTAAAGATAAAAACAATAAATATTTACGTATTTTTATTATCAATCATAAAAATACAATAAATATAATATATCCAGTTAGGTAGCTGTTGGCGAGCAACTTTTCGTGAAAATATTCGTCGTCCCCCTGTCAAGTATCCACGAGGAATTTTTGCGAAGATTGCGCGAGACTTACAAATTATTTGTTTTTATTCCTATCCTGAATTTGTTATGGGAGGTTTTTTCCTTCCAAGTGCAAGTAATGTTTTCAATTTTTCGTTTAGGACTATTCTACGTTTATACTAAAAAGGTGTATTCGGAGCTTTTGCGCATTTACATTTCCAAAATTGGGGTATAGTTACATGTTCCTGAATCGATGCCCGGCGTGCAAAAAGTTAACTTTCCAGACTGGTGCATCAGGACACAATTTTAGTCTGGACATTTGCTGAAATGACCCAAATCACCCAATATACATGCCATTTGCTACTGTAAGATTGTAAATATGCAGGATTTTTCTTATCTAGGCTGATGCTAAATGTGGAAAAGAAAGCCACCTGAGGTTCAAATAGCAAGAGTGGTGTTGTACACATGTAGAGTAGACTTGCCCACAAGTCGTACTTACGAACCGCGAAAACTGGAAAGGACTTTGGGAAAGTCTAACATGTAGTGGTGCACCATATGTTATATTAAACCCATATTATGTTAAATGTTGTCCAACTTAGAAAAGTAAAGGCACTGGCCAGATTCTGATTCCTGACCTGAACTGGATAGATAACTTCATTTCCATGATCATTGCTAGCTATTACAGACTTTGGCCATGATAAACAGAATCATGTTATTGTGCTTTTTAAATACAATATGATGGTACTACAGTAATAATTATAACTAAATTTATGGATGTATATATAGTTTGTAAAACTTTCCCTTGCTAATCTATTCTTATTCTTTGAAGAAGGTAAACAAAGTAATGAAACCCATGGGGGTAATATATAGATTACAATAGGGTTATACGTAGGGTGGGGGGGGGGGGTAAAGAAGGGAGGTTTAATAATAATTATTTCAAGCGCACAGGGCCGGGCCCAACCTCATGTCCAGGGTCTCTTCTTCTGTCATCTGGGAGAGACCCTGGCTGCGGCTGGTCACATGCCTCCCAGATTCTAGGAGGTAAATTTAATTGTAACTGTGAGAGGGGTGGGAAAGGAGCGTGTTTGTTTCGTTTTAAAATTGCAACTTTGGGTGATGAAGTTTACTGTAAATTTGCAATAAGAAATCGTAAAGAGAACTCTTAAATTAATATTTATATTGTGACGTTCTACTCTATAATCTGGTGTCGAGTTACAAATTCAAGCAAGTTGGATCAGATTTCAATATTCAACTTACAGACTTGCCAAAGAAAGCACGCTTCCCGCTTGTGCAGCGTGGAAATATTAAACCTACAAGAAAATATATAGACCGAACAGTGTGGTTGTTATTTATTTAGCATTAATGTTTATCCTGATACTCGGACCAAAAGAATTTATTTATTGATGAGGTGTGGAGTTGCAACGAAATAGCGAAATCTTTTGATTTCCGAAATATTGTCAACTGTATCCAGATTGCTTGTGATGTTACTCTGAGTGTGTATCCACACCGGGCAGGCTTGAAAAATATGCCTGCAGCCACGGTGGGAATCGAACCTACGACCTTTGGAATACTAGCCCAATGCCCAGGCATATTTTTTAAGCCTGCCCGGGGTGGATACACACTCAGAGTAACATCACAAGCATCTTATTAACCTGAGTACACTGCATCAACACAACAAATATCATGTATCCAGACTGGTGATCTCGCGATATATATAAAGGCCTTATCAAAAAACTTAAAGCCCATCAAAAGACTATAAAATTGGCCCTTGGCATTGCTGAAACCAACGATCATGGTATGTCAAAGTATAGCTGTCTGTTGACAATCTACGGTATTAAAATCATACACCAAAGATAAGTCAAACGACAAATTATATGTCACTATGTTATACATGTCTTTCAATGAGCACTGTTTCGTGGTGTTCACCACCTTTATACATTTTGTAAACAGCTTTTGTTTTGACATGAACAAGCTTTAATTTTCTAGAAATCATGATTTTTTTCCAATTTTTCCTGGGATACTTTGTCTTCTGCTCTCTAGACTCCCCCTCGCGGCTCTAGTGCTCCACCCCTAAAATATAGATCTTATATTGGGGTTTATTGACATTTGTGTTGCTTTAGTCACCTGTTCATGGCTCACCCCCCTAAAATTTCTGGCACCACCCCAGTAAAAAATATGAAAATCTGTCTATGATTGTTACACCCAATTCAGTCTCAACAACATTGTTCAATATTGTTGACAAGTGTGAACAACGTCAGGGCAGCAAAGCATTGTTCAGTGCTGTTGAGCAACAGGCTCAGCATTTTTTGCCGTGTATACTGACATACTGTACCTCCTTAGAATCTTATAGACTTGCTCCAAGTCTCTCTTTCATTGTCATATCGATCCACTGTAGTGTACATAGAGAGGCGGAACGAGAAAGAGAGACTTGTCAACTTCGGAAAATCTCGGTTCAAAACTGAACCAAAAATGCAAGACTTGCTTTAATTGTTTCCCTTCAATTTCTTTCTGTATTATTTACTATAATGGAACTCATGTTATTTACACTGTGCTAGATCAATACATATAAACCCTGACAGAAAACAATCAAAGCAAGTTTTGCATTTTCAGTTCAGTTTTGAATCGAGATTTTCTGAAGTTGACAAGCAGGCTTTTAGCCAGGATCCTAAGAGGGCATCCAATTTTGGTACAACGATACACCTACAGTAAGGGGGGGGGGGGGGGGGGGGAGTGAGAAAACGGTCCTCTGGAAAACCTATGGAGTTTACGTTACTTCATATCAATATCTAGCTGTTTAGGAACAGTTTGTCCAATTGTTATTGGCATTAAAATTCAGAACTTGAACTTTTCCCACACTTACTAAATTCAACAGTTAAATTCAAGAACGATCGACATAATATGCTAATGCTTCGAAATAAAACAAAAATACCATAATTTCCATGGCCATGCGGTCGACTATTCCCGCAATCGGCGATAGAGTATACCGAAAGTACCCATTTTCAAACAGCGATTACTCGTCAGTTTGATAGCGAGAATTCATTTTTTAAACTTCTCATAGAAAGAACAACTTTTCCTGCATATGATGGCGTGTATTTTATTTAATTTACTCATTCATAAACCCAGTTGTCCCAAGGGGTTTCGAAAGCCACTTTTAACACTTGTGCATTGACCCGGAAAACAGGTCAATAGAAATTACGATTTGCATATAACTAAACGTTAATTAGAACATCAAATAACGGGGAAATTGTTAATTTGACTCATATTTAAAACAATTATAAAGACCTACCTTCAAAAACGCGAACTTTTCTTGGTGAAATATCGAAATAAATATCCCCAACTTTTTCAACTATAAACATATTTGTCAGAAATCACGATTGTGAATTGTGTTTATTTGTGAATATTAATGATTTCAATGCATGCCGGGAAGAGCTTCCAACCTCCTCTGGGCTCTGGGTCTCGGCGTCTGGGTTTCTCCTCAACGTTAAAAATTATGGAGTGTGTTGAGATTTCCATGCAATACGTGCGTGATGTTTTTGATGACCTTTTTAATACCATTCAAAACAATTTTGAGTCTGAAGAACGACAAACCAAAGGCAAAGAACTCGCCGATCGAGTGAGACATTTCTATGTTTCGCTATTTCAGCAAAGCCAAGGTGTGTGGTTAAGAATCAATATAACGGAAAGTGGCAATATCTATTCCCTGCTGACAGAGGTCTCTATTTGTGCAGGAAAGCGAAGGAGAAGAGACCTCTGCCACAGAATACAGACCAGTCCAGTATCTGTTCTGTGCTAACCTGAGTATCAGGCTCTATTTAGCCTGCGAACAGGCTCTCAACTGTTCGCAGGCTAGGCTCTATTTTACACATAGAACTTTTCTCCCCTTCGCCCGCGATCAGGCGTGCCTGTGCTCTAAAAAGTACGGCCTGATACTCAGGTTAATTCTGTGCCTCTGCCTACACGCGTAAAAACGCACAGCTTGTAACAAGTCTGCAAACAAGTTGTTACAAGTCTGTTTACAAGCTGTCAACAAGTTGTGTTCGCACTGCTTCTTCCCAGTTTGTTGTAACAAGTTTGGAACAAGTTGTTAACAACTTGTAACAAGCTTGATGACATTATCAGCCTTGTTACAAGACTGTGCCAACAAGTTTGTTACAGCCATGAAATAACAAGGATGTTACAAGGTTGTCAACACAAGGTTGTAACAATCTTGTTATATCAAGCATGTAACGGACTTGTCAGAACAACCTTGCAACAAGTCTGATAATTTCGACAAGGTTGTTACAAGTTGTCAACAAGTTGTTCCAAACCTGTTGACAACTTGTGACAAGCAGTGCGAATACATCTTGTTGACCGCTTGTTGCCAGACTTGTTACAAGATGTGAGATTTTTACGTGTGTAGTTCTGACACGTTTTCTGTCGCGCATCGGCGCAATGTCCAAAAATTGCCATGGCAACAAGTGATGTTCACCACGTGATATCAAACCGGTTTTTGGGGGAGCAATTTGGTAATTCAAAGACTTTATACCGTAGTTTGAGGGCAAACAAATGTATCTCGGCCCGATAAAACATTGCTTTCGTTTGTTCTTCTAATCTTCTGTCACTGCTTTCACAGTTTCATCTTTGAAAATATCAATTACATAACTTAGAGCACTTTCAAACAACATGAAAAACCTCGAAATGACCACGTCGTGCAAGCCGCCATTTTGACAGTACGGGCTCATTATCATTACAGCGTAATTCAGCTCTGAGCATGCGTACTATTTGTGTCTTTAAATCGGTTTCAGAACTTGTTTTACAAACTGGTTTGACTCGTCCCGCGATCATGGACTGAGGAAGTATCAGATCTAAGGAGAGGTCTCTTCTCCTTACCCTGGGTGCCAGAGGTTCTTCCACGCTCGTAGGGCGATAATGAGGGATCATCGTGTATCCCTCATTATCTCCCTTACGAGCGTGGAAGAACCTCTGGCACCCAGGGTATCTCTCCTTCGCTTCCCAGCACAAATAGAGACCTTTCCCAGTAGGGAACTATATCTACGGCCAGCCTCGTCCCCGGCGCGTGAGAAACACACGTGGGCGGGAAAAGGGGGAAATGTGGGATTCGCTTTTAGAGCTGCGCGTCGCAAACCCCACGCACGTACTGGAGCCTGGGGACGAGGCTGATCTACGGCCCCGTAAGCAGACTTCGCGAGGTTCTACATACGGCACTGCTCTCACGCGCACTATAAAACGTATTGCTTAAAGTGGAAGTCAAGTTCGTAATGTAAACAAACGGTTTGTTTACATTTTGAACTGCTGTATTTTTTAAAATATGATGTACTGTCTGAATATCTAACACTATTTTGGTTCGCTATGCTTCTAAATAAATATGAAATAGAGTTTGAGTTCAGAAAAATTCGAAACATTCGAAATTTGGGCAAAGTTTACATGAGAGGGTCCTCACATTGTTATGAGCAGAACTGATGAGCAGAACGGACTTGACTTCCACTTTAATATTACGAAGGATTTCAGCGAACTCAAACTAGCTCAGGAGGTTAGGCAAATGGCTGCTGCGCTGTGCCCTGGGTGCCAGAGGTTCTTCCACGCTCGTAGGGGAGATAATGGGGGATACACGAGGATTCGTATCCCTCATTATCCCCCCTACGAGCGTGGAAGAACCTCTGGCACCAAGGGTAGCTGCGCTGTAGTCCGCCGTTCAAACCTTAGGACGGTTTCTTGTTGGTTCTTAACAAACATGGGCGTACCGGAAGGAAAAATTTAGGGGGGCGGAAAAAAAATTGCTTTGATTGACTTTTCGTGATTGTGCCCGACTAGTACCAAAAATTTTTTTCCGGAAATATTATTTTGGCGACCTCCCCTCCCCCCCCCCCGTCGCCAAAAAATTTTTGGTCAGTGTACCATTTTAAGGTCAAAAAAATTTTCCGGACAAACCAGAATTTTTCGTACCATCGCACAAATTTTCCAAAAAAATACATTTCCCACAAAATTAACTAAATTTTCGACAAAATTGACAGAATTTGTCCAATTTATTTTTATAACTAACAAAAATTGCCCGACTGTTGATCGAATATTACCCGACTGCCCAAAAAAATGGGGGGGGGCTACCGCCCCCCCGCCCGGTACGCCTATGTTAACAAAACATGTTTCCCTCTGACTAGTTATATTTTTGTTAGGGTTAGAAGTTAACGTTAGGGGAAGGATTGGTGTTAGACTCTGGGCGTTGAGTTGTTTTTGCTTTAATTTGGCTTTAACTATAAATCAGGCCGTGTGGAGACTAAGAACGAGAGTGCCGTAAACATAGCCTAGCAGCCTAGCAAAGTCTGTTTACGGGCCAACCTCCTACCCAGGGCTTCTGCGCTTTTTGCTCTCAGCCCTGGGATAATCCAACCCGGAACACCAAAGAACATTGAAACCAACTAAAACGCTGACTGGACATATTTTTACGCAAGGAGTGAAATGCATTGTTTGTTGCAATATATTATGATACATTTGGACTTGTAAAGACGTCTTTTAAACTGCTTCTCGTGTGGCTTTTGAAAAGAATGATCAATTTCGAGATACAATTATGCGGAAAATAAGCCCTTTGGCGGGCAAAAGAACATCTTATAGCGCGACAAAAACTAGCCTGCTCGCAGACGATATTCTCACGCCAAGCGACGTCTGCTTACCCGAGCGCCAAACTGAATTCCACTATACGTCAACCAATCAGAATTTACCTTCCAAATTCTGGAGAGTGACGTCAGTTGATTTAGGAGCGAAATAAATATAATTATTATATACACAATGTTTGGATATGAGGTATTCTCATAGAAGTTTCAAGAGTATATTTACTGGTACTGAAATAGTTATAGCGCGTGTTGTGTTGTTTAAAAAGTAAAAATACAAGTTTACGCATGCAATGAAACGACGAAGTTCACGTTTTGCAAGCAAAAATACATTATAGTAATTACATTAAAATGTATTCGCTCGAAACAAAGAAACTAAATTCTTTCAGACAGTAGTCAGTACGGATAAAAACACGCCTATACGATTTAATTAATAATTTGACTGTTGACTTTCAAATTTGAAAAACAATACATTTAAAGAGTTCTGGTCAACTACACCATGCGCCCTTCTGTTTACGTTTTTCCTTTACTTTTATCAATTGTCGCCGCCATTTTTGTGGCCACACAAAATAGCTGCCTCTGGCCGACAACGTAACAGAAACGTAAACAAACGCACGCATTGCATTGCATTGTGGTTGACAGGGGCGCCGGAAGCAATGTAAAGCGGCGGGGGCAGCCATTTCAAAAGGGCACTTAATTGCTTCTCAGCCATCATTTTTCTGGGCGGCAATATTTGTTAAAACTTTATTGTATGGATACCCGATTACTTGTGGCTATTGTGGGTCGGCAAACTTCGACATTAATTTTGAGCAATTTTTATTTGTTGCATCATGTTAAGAGCGCAACATAAAATCAGTAAACGGACGTATATTGCCTGATTTAGCATTAATCAGGAGCCGCGGAACCGGGGGGGGAGCAATGGGGGCATGTGCCTCCCCACTTTTTTAAAAGTGAAAAAATGTCCTTTTGGGGGGGGGGGCTAGAAAGAAAGTGGGCACTTTCTTTCTAGCCCCCCCCCCAAAAGGACATTTTTCAGCAGTAAAGACTCTGTAAAGGCCATTTCCGACGTCATAGGGACTCTATATTTTCAAAAAATTTTCGTTCGGCTCGTGAACAACATAAAATCGTTTGATTTTCAGTCATAATTATATAAAAGTGATTCCGCGGTATCTGGCATTAATTTTACTATAGCTCGTTAAAAGTTAAGCTTAAAAATAGTTATAAATTCCAATTCATGTGAATAACGCACAAATTTCGAAGCGCAGTTCTGGTGAAAAAGGGCAACCTGTTGCCCCCGTGCCGCCCCCGCACTAGGGACCTTAAGCAAACAGGACGGCAAGGCGACGACGACGGCTATTCACACAATGATATTCCTGATCTCGTACAAAAGAAATGAATAATCAAAACCCCACGTGAGTTAGAGACGTTGTGTTAGGGCTTTTTACAACGGCAAACCAGAGATTTTTACGTCTCGTGTACAACGCAAACATGTCAAGACGCGACAAGTGAAACTACAAATTTGCTTAGCAGAAGCTTTTTTAACCATAAAGCCTTTGTTTTTAATTTCTTCGAACTAAACTCAATTCATATACATGCAGTGGATAATACACAACAACTCTTCTTCGCAATAATTTATTTGAAGATGTTTGTTTTGGCTGTCGTCGTCGCGTTGCCGTCGTACATGCTTAAGGTCCCTAATGTTTCGGTAACGGGTGCAGTTGCCCCCGCTGCCCCCGTGGCTCCGGCGCCCCTGGTGGTTGACCAGGACTATATATTAACCTTTTCAAAATTAAAAGAAGATCTGTCAATCAATCAGTATCAAGCAATCGGAATTTTGCGTTGTGTGGACAACGTGTATTTTGTTTCTTGATATGTTGTCTGCAGTAATCCCTTTCCTTCTGAGGGAAGACGGCTCCCAGTCTAGTAAAAGATGTCATCAGTGACGTATTTTGATATGAATCCCATATATTGTGATGTATTTATCGGCATGTATAAATTAAGATCACTGGGGTTGGTCATAGATAGCCCAACAATTAACTGTTTGATAAAGGTAAAACCACAAAAAATAAAAAGTCCTCAGTTTCCCTATATATTTATGCAGTAGTATACTCAATTTCATGACATTTATTTTTATTACTACTTGTTTTTATTAATATCACTTTTATGTGGTTTTCCTTTATCAAAAGGCCAAACATTTTTTAGTAAGCTAGATTTGAGTTAATTGGCCGCCAAGAGGCTAACTTACGCTAACCTTAAAACACGTACCAAGGCAAAACTACTCGGTACTCAGCGTACCGTTTGTACTCAGTTCTGATAAAAGATATACAGTTTCCGAATTCAGATAGTGATTTACTCCGATAGATATTTTGTACTTGTACTATTGTATTTGTTTCATATCAATTTGACACGGCATATTGTAAACACTGGACTGGACTAGGGTTGGACTGGACTTTGGACTGGACTTTGACACTGGACTCTTCACTTAAACGTTTCTTTTTACAGTAAGTTTTCGCATAAATCCCCACAATTGTCGTTAGAAACAACGAAAAGGAGCTCGATAGGTCCAATACAACAACTTACGCAACCTCGTTACGTCGTGTCTGCAGAAAATACAGTCTTTTTACCGCTTTTTTAACAATATAGCATGTGTTGGCCGACCACTTCAAATTGTCATCAATCCATAAACCAAGTAATTTGTAAAGGTTTAAATGTTACAAATTACTTGGTTTATGGATTGATGACAATTTGAAGTGGTCAACCAACACATGCTATATTGTTAAAAAAGCGGTAAAAAGACTGTATTTTCTGAAGATATTAAAAGGTTATAATGCACCAAAGCAGGATTTAAAAGCCTTTTATATAGCTGTCATAAGATCGACACTTGAAAATTGTGCTCAAATTTGGCATGGAAACTTAACCAAGGAACAGTCTACTGACATAGAATGAGTTCAAAAGCGTGCGCTTAGGATAATTTGTCGTGGACTGACTTATGAAGAAGCATTACTGGACCGTAACCTTAAAACATTAAAGGCTCGCAGAGAAGAGATGTGCGGAAAACCTATAAAAACAGTGATTGACCCTAGACACAGTTTATTGCCAGAAACAGTTAATCAGATAAGACAGAGACAAACTAGATCAAATGGAGAAAAACTGTATAATTTTGGATATCGAACTGAACGATTTAAAAATAGCCCAATTGTGTATGGGATTGAATTTTTTAACCGAACGCTGGAGTCGAAGTAAATTTATCGAATTCTTTCAAAAATTTTAAAATTTTTATTTAAGATTACTTGTAAATATTGACTCTTAATTTAACATTTTTATACAGTTTAAATGTAATTCACATTGTAAATTAGTATTTAGTATTTACTATTTAATGTGAAATTCTAGAAAGATTAAAGATTAAAGATGCGTGCCAATTTCGTTCCCAGAGGGTGCCGGTTCGCAGGTTAGGGTGGGTTGTACGCATGCTCGGCAATTGTTGCAAAATATAGACAAGGTATTTCGAAAATTAGAATTTCTCGTCGAAAATCTGATACTCCTTTAACTGAAATCAATTGAAAACAACTAAAAATTCTGGGGGAAATATTTAGGAAAGCTCGGATTGATAGAGATACAACTACCTGAACTGATACAAGGAGAACTTGACGTTTCGAGCGAAGGCACTTCGACTTGTACTGTTATTGTTAATGTTTGTTCTACTCGTATCATGATAAATATAATCTCCTCAACAACGAGAGAATGTTTACTATGAAGTGTGGACCAAATACTACGTATACCATAAATTCTGCCAGGATAGTAAAATTTAACGAATTGCTATGTCACACATTATGTGCGCAGCCGGAGAATGTTTTGAAAAAAACTGAATGTCCGGCAGTAGCGACTATAGTTCAATATAAAAACGTTTGTTTGCACTAGTTTTTACAGAGCTTGCCGATTAGCGCATTCGGCAGAGGTGCTGTGTGCGATAAGTGAAACGCAGTCGGGGTCGGAATGTGTTTCGTCCGACTTATCACTGTTGTCTTTCATAAACTTTTTTTCAACTTTTTTTCCAGTTTTTCTAACTCTTTTAAGGTTAAGGTTAGAGAATTAGGGTTTGGGGTTGGGACTTGGGATTGGCAGTTTATCTTATAACTGCTGGACATTTAGTTTCTTCAAAATATTGTCTGGCTGCCGGACATATAGTCTGTGATATAGTCACTTCGTTAAATTTTACTATCCTGCCAAAATTTATGGCATACGTAGTGTTAATAGGTCCACACTTCACAGTAAACATTCTCTCGTTGTTGAGGAGATTTATTGAGATTATATTTATCATGATACGACTACAAGTCGAAGTGCCTTCGCTCGATACGTCAAGTTCTCCTTGTATTTTTCAGGTAGTTGCATCTCTATCAATCCGAGCTTTCGTGCATATTTCCCCCAGAATTTTGAGTTGTTTTCAATTGATTTCAGTTAAAAAAGTATCAGATTTTCGACGAGAAATTCTAATTTCGAAATAGGCCATACTTTGTTTATGTTTTGCAACAATTGCCGAGCATGCGTACAACCTACCCTAACCTGCGAACGGGCACGCTCTGGGAACGGAATTGACATGCATAATCTTGTAGATACGATGTAAGTTGTTGTATTGGACCTATCAAGCTCCTTTTCGTTGTTTCTAACGATAATTATGGGGATTTAGGCGAAAACGTACTGTAAAAACGTTTAAGTCAAGAGTCCAGTCCAAAGTCCACTCCAAAGTCCACTCCAAACTTAGTCTAGTCCAGTGTTTACAATATGCCAATCTGACACTGCAATCGAGCAACAAAAAATTCGTTGGCTCGACCGGGATTTAAACTGCATCATCTGGTATCTATACCGCCGCTCGACCTATTGAGCTATCGAGTCAACAGGGATTGGTAGCGAGTCTTGTCCAATTTAAGTGCACGAAATATTTTCGTGAAGACTAACGATTGTCTTAAGCCCTGTTTAAACGGATCCAACATTGTTGGACCAACATCATCCAACAATGTTACTATAATAGATATGACTGCTTCCCTTTCAAATATTTTTGGTTAGATAAGCTTTTACTTGAAAAAGAAGCCGTTTAAGCCATTATTTCAACAATGTTGGATGATGTTGGCCCAACAATGTTGGATCCGTTTAAACAGGGCTTCTGAAATAGAATGGAAACACTGTGCGTCCTCTGGGACAAGCGTGAAGTCGTCACGAAAATATTTCGTGCACTTAATAAGACTCGCTACCAATCCCTGTTGACTCACTAGCTCAATAGGTAGAGTGGCGGTCTAGATACCCGAAGATGCGAGTTCAAATCCCGCTCGAGCCAATGAATTTTTCACTGCTCGATTGCAGTGTCAGATTAATATGAAACTAGTTTTTCGTATCTCTGAGGATGGTTCTGAAATACTATTGTATTTGTATATTAAGTTTGATCCGTTCTTTATTTTGATATTGCATAAATCATTTATGTATATATGGTATAAATTATTATATACTGTAGTAGAGAGTGAGGTACTGAAAAATACACAGTGACATATTTTCCACATCTTCACGAGTGAAGATATCGATCACGTGACTTTTAATATTTATACAATTTTTTTTACTTGGCACTTTATAATAAACAGAACATTGTACGGTGGCTTGAAGATATGACTTTTATCTTCTCGTGTTACAAACAGTATTTTACTCACTCGCTGCGCTCGTTCGTAAGTATTGTTTTCACCGCTCGATGATGAAAATCATATCTTCGCGCCGCCGTGTAATATCCTCTGTTTATCCTGCAAAAGTGCGATGGTCAAGGAGAAACGGGACAATCGGGTGGCTGTTTTTGCAGGCTAGGTATCAGTATTAGGTCAGAGGTTATCACCTTCTTTTGCGGCGCTCGCCATTCTAGTCACATGTAATATAGTCACAAATCATTCATTATTTTAAATAGGAATCTTCCCTACGAACGAGATGTCTATCCACCTAGCCACAGGCGTGCCAATACGACAAGGTTAGTAGAGTTATTGAAATATACGCAAACATTTAAATTGTTACTGCAAGGCTATCTTTAAAACAGGGAATGGGGAATCCGGGGAATCGGGGAATCCAGGAATCGGGGTATCCGGGAATCCAGAACTGATAAGACGGGGATATTAGTGTGCTTGTTGGAAAACGCATTCGCCACTGTATACAATGCGAATCAGTTTTTATGATATACTATAGATTATAACAGCGCTGTGCACATATGTGATTTTAATAATAATAATATATAATATAATATAATGAATTTGTCACTTTATACACGATACAAACTAATTAATTAAAGACAAATAAAGACAGATACAAATCGTGACATGGGAAAGGAACAGGACTCTCGTCCCAATTGACACCTAACCCCTAAAAAGACGTTAAATATAAATAAAGATAATGAACAGGTTATAACACATTAGTTATAACAACTTATACTAGCTAAGGTTTGAATCGTGACTATAAAAGTACTGAACGTTTACACACTGCGACTTACCCACTATGGAGATTACTATTATGAATTATTCAAAATTAATTTGGAAATCACGAGTCAATTTATAACATATTTGTAAATATGATGAAAATGGCCGGATGATGGTTGAACAAATCGCAATGTGTAGACGCTGATCACGCAGTGCCCGGAGGTACGTAATGCGATAACTTAGTAGAATACAACTTATGAAGATGAGACTTGAAAATACTTAAAGAATTGGAGGATTTGACAAGAGACGGTAGAGTGTTCCATAGTTCAACCGTTCTAATGAAAAAAGAATTTCTAAAATAGTCCTGCTTGTGTTTAATTATAAGATTACAGTTGTTTTTATCATAATTTCTTGATTGGTATCCAGGTTCAAAAGTACATATATATTTGTTCACATCAGTAGTAATTGCTCCAGTTCTAGATTTAAAAAGTAGGCATAAGTCTGAGATATCTCTTCTGAACTCAAGAGGGAGAATCTTGATCTTCGCGAGTTTGTCGGCATACGTTAGGTCCTGTGGATAGTCAAGAATAAACTTTGTTGCCCTCCGCTGGACATTTTCGACTAGTCTCTTATGCTTGATGGTATAAGGTGACCATAAGCTGCTGGCATATTCTAGAATGGGCCTCACGAGAGCGCAGAATAGTAATTTTCTCACTCTTTGGTCGTGGGTATCCTTGCAAGTTCGTTTGACAAGTCCGAGTGTTCTGTTGGCTTTGGCCACAGTTTCTTCTATGTGTCTTGACCAGGACATGTCACTGCATACAGTCACACCAAGATCTTTGACGTATGGAACACATTCCAGAGGTTGACCGTCCAAATAGTACTGAGATACAATCTTCGTCTTTTTTCTCGAGACCCGTAGTGCTTGACATTTAGATTTGTTAAACTTCATCGCCCAGTCGAGACTCCATTTATGAAGGTTATTCAGGTCGTTTTGGAGGTGAAGGGTTGAGTCAGGTAGGATGATGGGTTTATAAAGTTTGGAGTCATCGGCAAACAGGGCAATGGTTGATTGGGAATTGATGTAGCTGGGGAGATCGTTGACGTAGACGAGGAACAAGAGAGGACCAAGTATGGAACCTTGGGGGACACCGGATGTTATTGGAAGCCAGTCAGAATAAACACCATCAAGAACAACTCTTTGATATCTGTCCGTGAGATAGCTGCTAAACCACGAGAGAAGAGTATGTGTACTTTGGATAGTACACATAGAAGAGAGATAGGACGGTAATTGGATTTTATCGATGGATCCTCTTTCTTGAAGACAGGGGATATGTTGGCGAATTTCCACTCTGACGGCACTACACCCAGGGAAAGGGAAAGGTTGAACAATCTGCACAAAGAGGGAGCGATCTCGTGCGCGACTTCTTTCAACAATCTACAAGGAATACCGTCTGGTCCACTAGCCTTGTTTGGATCTAAGTTACTCAATACTGCAGCAACTTCCTCTTCAATCAGTTCGATCTCCGATAGCTGATTATCAAGGGTTTTGGAAGGAGTTGGAAAGGAAGCAGGAGGTTCAATGTTACTAGGGTTACTAAAGTTACTAGGGCTAGTTCAAATGATTATGAACTTAGAAACTCTAACACATTAACAACAATAAAATGCCGAACAGAAAGATATCGCCGTAGCTTTTTTCCCAGTACAGTAGCTCTATATAATAGTTATAGTAAAGAAACTTAAGCGTGATACTTAATTACGATGATTTTAATGCAATTCAATAAGATTTTTAGACTTGATGCATGCAACTAAATTTTTATATATGTAAATATATAGCGTACCAATTTTGTAAACGCACCATAATTCAATCTATTGCGAAGGTGTGTATCTTAAACCATTAATAATAATAATAATAAAAAAAAACTGAGTGGAAAAAAGTGTTCAAGAGGTTGGCTTTCTCACGACTATCTGTGATATATGATTGTCCATTTCTCAGAAAATTCGGACTTTGGCTTGATCTTGTTGAAGATTTCACGTATGACCAGAAACGTTTAGGGTTTTCGAAAACACTATTTTTCATCTTGTTTGCATGTTCGATCTTCTTTTTAGCGATAAGAATCTTGGATTCACGACGCAACTGTTTGAATTTTGCGATGGCTTCTGGACTCTTCGACTTACGCGATTTCTTTCGCTGAATGTTTTTCTTTTTCAGCAGAGCCAAAAGTTCTTTGTCAATCCAAGGGGGGTCATACACGCAGCGGGATGTACGTTTGGGAATGTGATCATTCACGGCAGAGATGAAGGACTCACACCAACTGGAGAGTAATGTGTTAATATCATCAGAAACAAAACCAAGTTCCCATGGTATATTTGCTAATACTTGTTTTAAACCCGACCAATTCGCATTTTTGAAATTATACACTGAACGCTTGACTTTCGGTTTTTTACAAATCTTGAAATCGACATCGAAGCTTATGAGTGTGTGATCTGTACTAATAATGTCCTCGAATCCATGCACGTTTATAACTTTTTCTGGAATATTGGTAAGAAGCAGGTCCAGAGTGTTGTTAATTCGGGTTGGAAAGTCAACTAGCTGCCATAAGTAATTATCTTTGACAGTTTTAGTGAAGAAATTGTGAATTGAGTCATTGTTCGTAGCTACTCCTGTAGACCAATCGATATGTGGAAGGTTGAAGTCACCACACACAATTAAAGAATCAAACTTTGCTTTAGAGGCAAGTGTTAAGGCTTTCTTAAGTTGCTTGATGTAGTCCAGATTTGTGTTGGGCGGTCTGTAGAATACAAGAACCAACAGTTTTTTTCTGGATTTCGGGCGAATTTCACAGGCGAGCATTTCTGTGCTGACGCTTTCGAGATCTTTTCTACGTAAGTTAAGTGTATTGTTCCGGACTGCTAACAGAACCCCACCTCCAATTCTATCAGCTCGATCCTTTCGATGGATTGTAAAATTTTGACCGGGTAGGAGTTCACAATTCCCTATTTCAGCATTAAGCCACGTCTCAGTTATTGCAACAATATCAAAGTCAGTTACTAGTGCTTGAAATTCAATTGTTTTGTTTACTAAACTTCGGGCGTTGAAATAAAGACATCGCATGTTGTGATCTAACTGTTGTGGTGGAACGTGTTCAGGTGTATCTTCTGGACCCGGATTCATCTCTACGTCGTTTGCCAAGAGGATTAACAAAAGCGGCAAAACCGACCTTTGTGGTAATTTCAGGCCATTTGAGAATCGAAGAACTGATAGGGAGTTTATGTGTTTCCTCACGCGACGAGCTTGAACAAAACACGGTGGTGAAAGAGCTTTCGTTGATGCATAAAACAAGTTTATTTTGCTTTCTTCAGTGACTTGAAAACCACGTAAAATTAACCACAAAAAGAATAGAAAGTAGCTCAATTTGGCTGCAATCATGTTCAATAATCAGAAAAAATCTGTTCTAATCAATTCTAGTTTGCGTACGCGATCCAACTTTCTTCAATTAAACTTGCGAGATTGCGTGTTCGTTTGCACTCGCCAGTATCAACCGCCCCTTGTTTGCGCGTGCAGGAAAAGACAACGGAAACTTCAATTCAACGTTAAATCCAACAAATTATTCAGCCAATAATAACGATAATTTCAAAAAAACCTTATATCTTTAATCCAGGAGACTTTAGCCAATGTTTTGTAAGTTTTTTTACTCAGAACTTCAATCACAAAGTGTAAAATCCTTAGGATTTTACGGAGCTCTGCGGCGCACGCCCGCCGCGCACGAGCACGATCACGATCGATAATATATAACTTTATTAATTTCAATTAGACATTAGCGTCTATAGAATTCTAGAATTTTGTTCCAACGCGCAAGTTTTTGGGATTAATAGACTGCAAAATGCATGCATCATACAGAAAACGGGGTAACAATAAAAGCCCACGCTTTATATGTTAAATAGTAAAGCGAACGGGGCGCAATTCGGCGGCGACGCGTTACGGTTTTCATTCACGGATACCGTGTTTAAGAGATTACTGCATGTGGAGTTTAAAAACTCCAACATCTGCTTAAACCAAATCTGCGCGATTTTTGAGTTGTTAAAAAATAATAAAAAATGTTAATTTTAAAGTACAGTAAGTAATTTGTAGCCTGCGAACAGGCTCTCAAGCTGAATTGAGAGCCTGCATCGATGACTAATGAATTTGAATATCTGCCCCGTAACGTTCGTTTTTCCAAATATGGAATGTATATCCTTATATGGTGTTGTTTACAACTTTCGTGCAAACTAAATTTAGACCGTGCAAACTAAATTTAGACCGTACAGTTTATACTGTTTTTCGAAATATAAAATATTGAAGCAAAAGTTCAAATGTTTTAAATACTGTTTTCTCAAAACAGAACATTTCGTGCTTTGAAATAAGATGGCCAAGACCAATTTGATCAGTTAATGTGTTTTTTTATGCATAGTGCTTCAGCAGTTGACATATATAGAGCTCAGCGGAAACATATAAATTATAGCATCTGACCAATGAGAATTTCGCGTCACGATTTGAGACGCAGATATTCAAATTCATTAGTCATCGATGCAGGCTCTCAATTCAGCTTGAGAGCCTGTTCGCAGGCAAAGTAATTTGGGATTACAAAGTATCCGTGAATGAAAACTAAAAACATACCGCCGAATTTCGCCCCTTTGGCTTAGTTTAACATATTATAAAGCGTGGGCTTTAGTTTAATGTTATCCTGTTTCCTGTAAGATGCATGCATCAGTCTATTAATTCAAAACTGAACTTGCGCGTTGGAACAAAATTCTATAGACGCTAATGTCCAATTGAAATTAATAAAGTTATATGTTATTAAAATCACATATGTGCACAGCGCTGTTATAATCTATAATATATAAGCATAAGTTTTTTAAGACAACTGATTCGCATTGTTATGCAGTGGCGAATGCGTTTTCCAACAAGCACACTAATATCCCGGTCTTATCAGTTCTGGATTCCCCAATTCCCGGATTCCTGGATTTCCCGATTCCCTGTTTTAAAGATAGCCGTCGCTGCAATGAATACCTAGACACCTGAGGCTGCCACAATCACATTGAGATTGACGTGGCAAGAACTTGAAAATTCCTGGCTATTCCTGAGACTATTCTGATTTGCTCCTTGACCTCAAGTCAGGTAGCCTGTGTATAGCCGTTACTCTCAACGAAACGCGCGAGAGAGTGAGTTGGATTTAGCCCAGACCTAGGCCTTTACTCGGCTGGTAATTATCGCAATGGTCATTTGCCTCGTGAAGGCCTAGTAGATTTCACAAGTTCTCAAATTAACCCCATAACTTTGTGATCCGAAATTGATCAGAAACCAACAACTAAAGCAATTTATACTGTCCAGTAGTTATTACATCAACTATAAAAACATTTTATGACTAAACTACAAAGTTCTATTTTGTAGTAATATTTGACTCATTTTGACCTTTCGCAACATTATAATAGTGTAGCTTCAAAGTTCACGCCGATTTTCTAGGCGTGTATACAAATAAAATAGTTAAGTTGTGTAATTGTACACTCCGTAATATGTTAAGATGAAAATGTTCTAGAGTGTGTATTATATAATTTCCATACCCAGCGCAAGCAGAAAGATGTTGTCTCCCGCGGCTGGGACTTGAACCCGCGACCTAATAATTATTTCATAATTTCCAGTCAATAATAATAATAATAATAATAATAATAATAATTTTTTCATAATTTCCAGTCTTAAATCCGTCTGACCGTCTAGCTCAGTTGGTAGAGCGTCGATCTAGTAGTTCGAAGGTCGCGGGTTCAAGACCCAGCCGCGGCAGACAACATCTTTCTGCTTGCGCTGGGTATGGAAATTATATAATACACAATCTAGAACATTTTCATCTTAAAATAAAATAGTAAGTTTATACTATAAATGAGTTTATTTTACCTGTATCGGTTTAAATTCGCTGTTAAGTTGCAAAGAATTCTGTTTGAGAACGCAATAATTGGGCTTCTGCGAGCAGGGCAGTTTTGGCTTTGTTGTTGTTGGGAAATCCACTGCGCCTTTTATTTTTTCGCTTGCGAGTTGCGTCCATCCTCCGCCCCGCCCCCAAATCACCTAGTCCCAGTCTTTTCGTGTGAAAAAGCGCTAAATATTTAAAAAATAATAAAAATAGAAGGCCTAGGTCTGGACTGAGTTGGATGCATAATCCTTGTTTAGGTCACGTGGATAGTTCCCGGATTTGGGGACCGGTCTCAGATTGGACAGTGCTTGATTTGAATGATTCATGACAAATGAAGCTATTTCATTGGTTAAATGATAATTAGCATGCGTTTAAAATAACAACACAAAAATTTTAAAATTCCAGATCAAGAATCAAGATTTCCTTCGGGGCATACAAAGGTTTGAAAGACTAGAAATACAATCTGAAAAACGATACACCAGAAATATATTGCATATATTTCTCGATGAAGAGATTTGTTTTGAGTGCGGACAATGTTGAACGATGATAATTGCCGGCAAGTCCGGTGTACAAGCTCAGTTCTTGGCGTACATATATATGGCGTATATTTGTTTACAAAGACAAAGTATTATAAGTTATTATAAAATTGTCAATTATAAATTGTCAATTTCCGTGCGATGGTTTGTTGCATTTTATATATTTGTCAGCATTGTTCGCTGAGTGTGCAAACACTAGAATTTTATCTTGATTTTCTAAAACTTCGATACAGCACAAAATTAAACTCAACAGATTATGTTTCTAGTCTTTCAAACCTTTGTATGCCTTTGCATGCATAAATCTTGATTCTTGATCTGGAATTTTAAAACTTTTATGTTGTTATTTTACTATCATCAATAATTATCAATTAAGCATTGAAATAGCTTCATTTGTCATAAATTATTCAAATAAAGCACTGTCCAATCAGAGGCCTGTCCCCAAATCTGGGAACTATCCATCTGAACAAGGATTATGCATCCAACTCACAGACGTTCTCTCGCGTGTTTCGTCAAGAGCAACGGCTGTACACAGGCTAGAGTCAAGTAAAAAAACTCAGAAATAAATTGTGACGACAACTTAGATACTATAATTGGACTATTTGTATAATTAGGGATGTTCTTCCTTTCTCAGCATACAGAGCTAAGTTTGTAAATGTTGAACAAAGGCATACGTTTGCGAAGTAGCGGCACCGGCCACAAGTAGTGCGACAAGTCAAGGTCACAGTAGCATTCCCTGCATTCAGCATCCTGACACTACCTATAAAAAAGAGAACGGGTTAACAACATGTTTGACCAAGATGGTCAATGGTATAGTATCACTATGTAAACAATGCAGTGGCTGTTTTAGTGCCATTATCGTCGGCCTTTATATTTGGTCAACCCATCAAAATCGTGTTTATTTCATCACAGAAAATTGCTCTTGCATGGCTGGGGAGAAATGGGACATTGGATACTCTCCGACAAATTGATTATTTTGGCGTAAAAAACCGACACATCTGATGAGTTCATTTGCAAAGTAATAAACGTTGAAGAAATAAACGTTGTCCTGTTGTCTAAGCCGAGAAAAACAAGTTTTACCTAACAAAAAATCGGAAATAGGAAATTAACGATGTACTTTATTAACGCGACATAATTTAACGCGACATCAAATTAACGCGCATTGCTTCTATGTATTCCAAAACATGATTATACTAACGCGAATCTGATCTTCATGGTTGACAAATTAATTAAATTAACGCGAATCGGAAAATATAGACACAAGGTTTAATGTTAAGAGGGGCACTGATGTTTTTAGTTTACGTTAATTATATGTTGTATTTTGATATTAAAAGACTTACTGTTATATAAAACAAATCTAGGTATTTTTAACCAACGATAAATACAAATTGCATACTTAAATACATACATTAATTACACACATTAATTAAATTAACGCGAATTTTTAAAATCCGCGTTAATAAAGTGCATCGTTAATTTTCTATGATAAGATAGTTTCGACATGTAATCATAGAAAGAAATTTCTAGTAAACAATGATAACAACGGGATGCATGTATTGTTTGACGCCCACATGGCACGATCGTAAACGTTTAGGCGACCCACTTTTTGAAATTTGTCAATCACCTGATGATTCCTCTTGTATGAAACAGACTATTGTGACAAGGAAAAACGACTATGTATACTTGTACCACATATCTTGTTGAAACCAAGTTCATGCATAATATATGCGAATGTTAATCGCACTTTTGTCCAATGTTTATTGCCACGACTCCAGAAACACTCATTTTATCATAATTCGGCACGCCTCGTTCTATGAGTTTAGCGAATTTGAGGAGTTTACCGTCAAAAAACTCAATTTTATAAACTTTTTAAGTTTTAACGTTATAGATCAAACTGTTTTTATTGAATACCATGGTTTATACTGAGCGCATTTCCAATGTTTCGTTTATGTAGCAAATAGAACCAACAGTGGCAAGCGGTTGAACCTAAGTCTAACGCGGAGGCTTACCAAAAGAAAATGTGTTTCAGAAATAGCCACGTACCGATCTCCTCAATCAAAACCGGTGGCTCCACATCAGCCATCTCCCCAACAGTCACCATCAGCACCAGCACAACCATCAGCATCCTCACACCTAACATCACCGCCACCACAAGCACCTCCACCACAAGCACCTCCACCACTTCCACAACAGCCATCAATCCCAGAACCATTACCAAAACGACCAATACAAGTATCAACACATTTAAAACCATTTCATTTAACACCAGTGCTACCACAATCATCAACACGCCAACCATCTTCACAAGAGGAATTATTCCCTACAGCGAAACAACTACCTCTATCACCCACATCACCAACGGGGCAAGTTGATTACAAGGCAACTCTGCAGAATGAGCTTGTTGAGGTGGAACGAGAAAATATTGCCATGTTGGACGGTAACACCGGGCACTTGATTGTGACGTCTTCAACAAATAAACTTCTCTTACCACATGTTACTCATCGAAGCCCATTGCATGATACTATCCTTTTCAAAACTAAGGCAAATTGCGCTCCAGATGTTGAGACTGCTTTTAGATTATACGATGAATGCGAGGGTGCAGTGTCGATGAAATACCGACGTACAGTAAACTCTGGCGTCGAGAGTCTTCGGTTTACACGCAATGCAATCAGTGAAGCTAGTCGTGTATTTTTTCACATGCCCAAAAACGAAATGGGGCAGCAGGTGGTGGAAAAAGATGAGAGTGGCTGCTTTTTGCTGGACGTTTATGTGAAGAAAGAGGGCAATGAAAACATCGAGCTCCGTTTACTGCAGGAAATCGTAGCTGAAGGGGGACATACATTACCAGTTTTGGGAGAAGGCCATGAAGCTATATTCAACTCTATGATGAAAGCTAAATATTCAAAAGTTGGTCTTTTTGAGTTGCCGGATGAAACGAGAAAATATCCTTTCAGGCCTTGTGACAGACGGCAGCATGTTCCAGCGCCAACAGATATTCAGAAAACGACAAATGAAAGTGTTAAAATGTTCCGAATGATCACGTCTCCGTACGCGAACGAATCTCTTGTGTACCCAGCCCCTTCTACAATAAACGGTGCCGGTATGGGCCTGTTCTTACGACCAAGGACTACTAGGGTGTCAGCAGGGAGCTATTTGTGCACCTACTCAACCTCTTCGGTGGAGGAGCGACCATCTCCAGAATCTGGTAAGTACTGCCTGATCATCATTTCTTTTATTATTATTATTATTATTAATTAATTCTCCAAACATTTGGTTTTTCAGATTAATATACATGTAAATTATATCTAAATTATTCTTTTGTATATTTACAGTTTAAAATCGTTAAAATTAGATAAGTTCATTAAGATTTTAAAAGGAAAAGTTCAAGCAGATAGTTATAAAAATTATTTTTAAAGTCTTTACGATTGTCATGTACAGTAATGTCACTAGGTAGAGAATTCCACAGGGATACTGCTCGGTATTCAAATGTTCGTTGTCCGGCCGCCGATTTATAAGCTGGAATATTTAGTTTTTGTTTATTTCTGGTGTTTCTATCGTGTAAAGATAATCTCTCCTGAAAGTATGAATTGAGATAGTCAGGGGCTAGTCCATTCAAACATTTGAACGTTAGAACGCCAACAAAGTATTTTAACATGTCTGGGACAGGTAGCCAATTCAGTTGTTTGAGTATTGGAGTAATATGCTCATATTTTTGTGTTCCTGTGATTATTCTCGCCGCGAAGCTTTGCACTTTTTGTAATTTTTCTATGTTCTTCTTGGTTGTACTGGACCATACGTTTGAGCAATAATACAATTTGGAAAATACTAGGGACGTGATGACATTTTCCAAAATCCTAGGGTCAAAAAGATGTTTAACCCTGTTTATCTGACATAAGCTCGCAATACAAGTAGAAACAGTGTTTGCTATATGTTCGTTAAAACTTAGTGTTGAATCAAGTTGAATCCCAAGATCGCATGCTGAAATAGTGGGAGTAATCCTTTTCTCAAGTAATGCCACATAAAGTCATCCGGTAATCGTTGCAACATTTTGTGTGTTCCTAGTAGACTATTGTGACAGCACCATGCTGTGATTTTTGACAGGTCTTCATTGATATTCCGCATAACTTCATTAACATACTTGATGGGAAACGAAAGATACAATTTGAATCATCTACGTACGATTCTAAGTCACCGAAATTCGGGATGGTGGGCAAATCATTCAAATATATATTGAACAAAGCAGGTCCTAATATCGAACCTTGCGGTACACCATGAGTGATATGGCCTGGTTCTGACACAGCTGAGCCAATCTTCACCTGCTGCATCCTTCCGGTCAAGTAACTTTTGAACCACTCTAAGGCGCCAAGGCTAAGGCCTAACGCTTTTAGCTTTGTTAAGAGTTTGCGGTGATCTATACTGTCAAACGCTTTTGACAAATCCAGCAATACTATGACTGTGAGTTCTTTTGAGTCCATTGCTTTAAACACCTTGTCTGTCATAAACACGCCAAGAGTCTCACATGAATGTAGTTGACTTGTTTATTACCACTTTCATGTTTACTTAGGCATTTCTTTTTGTTCGTATAAGAGGTCAATTGACTTAAAGCTACTCGTTCACAAATTTTAGAAGTCGCTGGTAGTAACGATAGTGGTCGATTGTTATTTGCCACTTCGTGATCTCCCTCTTTAAGAAGTGGTATTACTTCTAATATTTTCCAGGCTGATGGAAAGACTGAAATCTGTAACGAGCGATTTATCATGTCAGTAATAACTGGGAGAATACATGGAAGTGCTTCCTTTATCGTAGACATTCGTACTTTGTCATGGCCAGGAGCTTTGTTCGATTGGAATGCCATAACTGTCCTTCGTACTTCTCCACACGAGACAGGAACAAAACTAAAATTTTGTGACTCAGCGACAGCCAGCGAAACACTTGTTGGAGGTGCAGGCAGGTTATATAATTCTATTAAAGATGTGCAATCTTCTGATACTCTCCTACCAACTGAGGTGAAAAACTGATTAAACTCATTAGCAACTTCTTTCATATCCTTTGTGTAGACTTGTTGAGTGCTTTCTTTACGAGGAATACAATTCTTAATTATCTTCCACTTTGAATTAGTGTTGTGATTGTGCTCTAGTTCTTTCCGTACATATTCCCTTTCGGCATCTCTCAGCTTGGATTTTACTTCTTTTCTTAGTTTACGATACATTTCCCAGTCTGTTGCTAATTTAGTACTTCGAGCCGTTTTCAATAGGTTATTTCTGTATTGCATAAGTTCGCGAATTTCTGTACTAATAAAGGGGCAGCTGCGGTGTTTAATCCTCACTGTTTTCACAGGTGCATGTGTTTCCATTACATGGAGAAACCTCTCATTGAAATGGTCTAGCATTACATTTGCATCATCCATGATGGAAATATCATACCAAGGTATTCGTTGTAAATCCGCGAGGAAACTATCAGGTTTGTAGTTTTTGTAGGATCTCACACATTTATAACTAGGTGGCGGCTTCAACATCTTAAGTTTCAAAGAAGTATATATTAGTAATGTCATAATAATATCAATAAGGGAAGATGACGTTTCTGTTACTCGTGTAGGTTCTTTTATCAATTGAGTTTGATTCACACTTGTACAAAAATCTAGTAGCGACATAGCCTCTGGAGAATCCGGTTTCAGCAAATCACAATTTAAATCACCTGCAACAATTATCTCTTTTCCTAATGTAAGAGCATGTATATAATTTTCCATGAAAATATCATGAAAGGTTGAAGTAGGACAATAATCAGGCCTATATGTCACACAGAGGAGAATTGATCTTAGTTTCCTGAGTTGTATTAGCATCCATAGCTGATGAAATCCGAATTCAGATATCCCTGTTATGTTTTTGAGACGTTTGACTTTAATCGACGATTTAGAATAGACACAAACACCCCCTCCAGTCTTTCCCAAACGGTCCAATCTTGTTAGTTTAAAGCCCTCGATTTCTACTTCCGCGTTTGTCACCGTGGAGTTTAACCACGACTCTGACAAGGCTAAAATATCATAGTTCCTATCCTTCATAAGTTCTCGAACCTGTATAAGATGATTCCTATTCTTAATTGAGCGAACATCTAGGTGGGAAATTCTAAGTTTCGATCATTGCATATCCGAAAGCGGTTTTGGAACATGTTCTTTTGTTATCGCAGTTATGGTCTTTTCCCTAGAGTTTACAATTTGAATATTTACTAGGTTCGAAAATACTTGGTCCATTTTGAGTCATATTCTGTGTAGGGTAGCGCGAGGTGATTCTGACTGGTATTCTCATTGTCTCATCATGCGGTACACCACATCCAGATGGATCAACCACTCTAGTGAGTGATGACGATGAGATGTTCGATATGATGGTGGTTTGATGTTCTGACGTTTTAAAAAAGGGGGTCGACCAGGGGAATTACGTATGTTATTATGCCTTGGTGAAGTTAAAGGCTTTGAATTTGTCTGACAACCTTTATAATACTCGGTGTCGCGGTTTTTAAAAACACTAATACTTCTACTTTTAGTGTTGCAGAACGAAGTTTGGTTAGCCTGGTTTAGTGTTTCAATCAACGGTAAGCGACCTAACCATTCGATATTGTTCCGTTGTGGAGGTGCATGCTAAGACGAAAGATTTTCCAACATTTGGTTCTATATTGCTGTTATCATTGGTCGCTTGAGTGATTGGGGTAGCTGCTCGTTCCTTGGTAACAGAAATTGAGAGCTGTACTGCTTCAATGGATTCCTTTGAGTGATTATTCATTTCGGACACTGGAGGGTCAAGGTCAGAGTCCACGGTTGGTTGATTAACGTTTTCATGACTGTTATTAGTTTCAGGTGAACAGCCACTAGAAATAATACAGACATCAGCATTTACAGTTGGGAAAGCATTTTCTTTAACCATTAGACTTTCTAGATCCAAACTACAGTTCGCATTTGATGTATTTGTTGACAGCAATTTCACTTCTAACTCTGAGATACACGATTTTAAATGCAAATTTTCACAGTTTAATTTGCATAGTTCTTGTTTATTTGACTTAATGATGTTATTCTGCTCAGAGAGTTTATAAGATAAATTTTGCAGCTGTGCCTCAACACTTTCCTTAAACGTGAAAAATTGTGATTCAAGTTTGGCTAGATTTCCATCAGTGTGTTGGTTAGATGGAGTAGACATCTCCGTCGGTTGGACAAAATCAGGCAACCCAAAAGCACTACAAAATGACCTGTCAATAAAGCCCTCAAGGTCCTTTATAGTAGAAGCATCAGAGCTTGTTAGTATATCATCGATTTTGGATATATTAAATAGAGCATCTGTCTGAGATATATTACTTAACTCATCGGTATTATAGACAAGTTGGTTAAATTCTCTGCGTTAGGTGTAATAGTTCTTTCAACGGACGCAGTTACAGCGCAAGCCATTGCATAGCAATCAGCTTGCTTAGGCGACGATTGAGGTTCTGAGTACTTTAACGTAGAGTTCGCTTCACAAAATTTTATTAAAACGTCTTTCAGGAAATACCCTTCCTTTCCCTGGAATAGGAGTGTTCTTTGTTTACCATTATACCAAGTAATTGTTATGTTAGATTTGCAGTTTGATAACTTCTTTGAGTTCCCTCCCGGCGATGTCCATTTGCCGTTCAGGCCAACAACTGTCTCGAAGAAATATTTTAGATCTTCGAAGTTTTTAGTCCATTTTAAACGCTTGCCATCATAGGTTAAGTCTAGCTCAACCTTATGAGCAAGGAAAGCGTCTGGATTCAAACTTTTTATACGAAAATCTGAACATTCTGCGGAGCAAAGACAAGCACGACCATACGCCATCCTCATGTACCTTTTTTATTTACTCTACTTGCTGATTCGAGAAAGAGTAGAAAATAAAGAAATAAAGATACATTATGTTCCAACCGAAGAAATGACTGCGGACATTCTGACGAAATCATTACCATTAATTACCATGCGGACATTCTGACGAAATCATTACATTAATTAAGCAACCTTTTGCCCTTGTAAATAAAAACAAAGCCATTGTGTATCAACCAAACCATCACAAACACATTTCGGCATGAAATCTTACTTATTAACCAACCGATAATTAAATCTGTTATCGTAGCCATGCATCTACGCTACCAATAAATATATCTTTAAATGCAAAAACAAGATTGTTTGATGTCACAATCGCTGTTTCGTTCAAAAACAGCATACTGTCTCAGAAGACATCGCCAAAATTTTGCTTCGATGCAAAAGTAATTTGGATCCAGTGAAACTGATCCACTATGTCCGATCCAAATTTTCAACGGATCGGATATTCTGAAAAGCTTGATGATTGCGTTTGTCAAACTGCACTTATATAACAGTCAAAATGTTATTACCTGTGGAAATATCAAATCCAAAGCATACTGTACCAAATAATGGCTAAAAAGAAAATAATCGATGGTCCCAACTAAGGTGTGCTGGTAATGTTCCTAGTGAAACAATTTGCTGCAGATTTTTCCTGATACCCTGACGATTGATATATACCTAATTTTGTCTGTGTGATCCACGACGCCATTTGCATTCATGATCTATAAGTACAGTCTGCCGCAAAATGTTAAAACGAAACCAACTATATATGGTAAATATCAGCGAAGAAATTAACTAGATGAGAAATATTTTTACCAAAAACATCTGTAACTACCAAATCAGGTCTACAGGATGTATAAAAGAAATCACTTTGCAATTCTTAAGCATAAAAGATTTTGGCATCTGGGAATTGATATCGAATTGCTAATAGATCATATTACTGTTGTTGCGCATTAAATAAATGCACAAATTTTGCTTTATGCAGTCGCGTGTGCAGTAATTTTGACAGTTGTGCTATTTTAAAGTCCCAGGCCCCTAAAATCTTTTGTCTTTAAAACAATGCCGATTTCTTGAGAAATTCCAAGTTTGCGTTTTTTTATATACACCCTGCAGTTCGTTTGCATAAAACCGGTGAATATGCAGCTATCTCAAAGCGATTCCCAGCAGCCTTTGGCGCTCGTATTCGGCATGTGCTCAAACCTGGACTGGACTATGGACTGGACTGGACTATGGACTGGACGATGGACTGGACTGGACGATGGACTGGACTGGACGATGGACTGGACGCATTTGTGCTAAAACCTGGACAATGGCCGATTTTCATTTAGCTACAGCCGTTTCAACAAATTCAGTCTCTGCAAATTCAGTCTCCGGCTATCACTTTGTCACTATAGACACTATACTCTCAATTTGACACACCTTAATGACCTTACTTGCTTACTGAAATTTTATTGACAGTTCACTAAATAAAAATTATACAAATTTACAACATTTTAATCAATGTTACAATTCTCGACGTTCCACTTTCCGCCTGTTGATTATCGTAAATCTATTGTTCTATCACGTTCAAATTTACCGTGGAATATACCTTCTCGGAAGTTTTACAAGGTAATTAAATTAACAATAAAATTGATATGAAAATGTTTTACTGGTAGTATAACGCTGAAGAATGCATTTTTTAGATATTTTATTAAGCACTTAAATACATACACCGTAATTTAAACACCTCGTGTGTTGTTGAAGCACGTGTATTCATCTTTCTTTAGGAAAAAGGATTTCTTCTACGAATTTACTAGAAGTTTCAGACCCCGAAATCCCCCAAATCGCTGGGCAAGTACTGTATAAGTTATAGTTTGTAGCAAAACAGTTTTCGCTTTCAATAATTAGCGTGCGCGGACCGACATTTCGTACTCGTAGAGAATGTATGTTCATCTCATGCAAGCTACGACATCTAGATCTATCTCTCACAATCCACAAAGCGTACCAAGAAGTACTGAAAAAGGTAAGTAAAATCGTTTTCAAACTTGATATTCAATGAGAGCTCGAAATCTCAAATAATATTTTACAATTCTAGATTCCCCTTATTATGTTTTCGTAGCGCTTTCCATTGTGTAACTAGTGGTATCACTAATAAAGATAGCGGCCTCGAATGAAAATATTGAATGTTTTCACGAATATTTTGCTGTTGGATATCGCGCACCCGACCCTAGCTTTTTTAAAAGTTCTTGCACGGGCCAGGACAAAAAATAAGCTATTCTTGAATATCAGTGATACCACTATAACCACAATGGAAAGCGCTACGAAAACGTAATAAGGGGAATCTATAATTGCAAAATATTATTTGAGATTTTAAATATGAAGTTTGAAAACGATTTTACTTACCTTTTTCAGTACTTCTTGGTACGCTTTGTACATTGTGAGAGATAGATCTAGATGTCGTAGCTTGAGAAGAACATTCTCTACTTTTTCCTGAAGAAAGATGAATACACGTGCTTCAACAACACACGAGTTCTCACACTGGGTTGCCATTTGTTCTGCCACCGCAAGCAGGGCAGTACCTTTATTATTTACCTTCAATAACATATCTGTTTATAAAAAACATGATTAACAAATCCCGGATAACAGTTCAGTTCATAATCTAAACAAAAACTATATACAACTAAAAAAAACACTAGTATCCACCAATCTGGGAGGGTGGGTGGGTAACTACATACGATGTGAAAAAAACTAAAAGATGCCAAAGTCACTTATCACGTGACTTTATACAACTCACGTGACCTAACACAGGGCACCCCAGTATGAGAAACCTGTTTCTCGCTTATTTCGTAAGCTCAGACAGCGAGAAACTCAAATTCTCACACTGGGTTGCCATTTGTTCTGCCACCGCAAGTTAAAAGCATAGTGGTTTGACTACCGTTCGTACTGTATCATTCATAAGCCTAATCTCTGTGAAACTCGTAATAGGGTGTTATGTGACAGTATGTGTCTCTTTAATGACATGTTCATAGATTTCTCAGATCTCCATCCCCCATGTCGCTGGATCAGACGATCAGGTATACCCCACGCGGCTGCTTCGGATGTACCACCAGAACGTAAGCTGTGTAAGCCATAAGCAGATTGATTCAAACCAATACTAGATATCTGAATCTTGAATAGTTCCAGAGCTCTGCTGTAACTCAAGGGGGATTTTCTCGGTTGCATTCCATTAGATGTGTGAGAAATCTTTCTGAACAGTTTATCCTGTTGCCTGTGTTTCCCCATTCGTAGAAATTTCTCAAGCAACTTAACTGGACATGATATTTTGCCTGGGCGGGCAACAAGAATCCAAGATCCTTCCCGGTACTGGTCATTCTTCCGCTTGACCAGAAATATTTTCATGTGATCATTTTCCATTGCAATGTCTTGCCTCTCTAACTTAGACAAGTCATCCCATCTCAGAAATGCACTAAATCCCAAAGTGATTAATGTTGCTATCTGCAGCTGTCTCAGATTCCCGTCACCAAACTTAACAATGATAGCTTTCACATGTTTGGCCTCCAGTGGCTGTTTCCTATTCACAGGTTTCAGCCCCACAATTCGCCGACTAGTTTCAATCATTTGCTTAACCAGTGTGTGTTCTGTTGGGGATTTCTTCCCCGCCTTCTTATGTGCCCAAGCAATCGCATATACTGCAGAATGAATAGTGGGCATTGTCCTAGCTGTTCGTAAAAGGAATGCCACCTCTTGACCATTTGCGGGTAGAGAACAGAGATCTTTGCTTTCTGCTCAGGTATGCCAACGTTCGAAGGAATCCTGATATTTACGCACTGTTCGAGGGGCTCGATCACGTAGGAGAATTCCTGGTATGTCACCTGCTAACGAACGCAACTCGGGGTCTTTTAGGCGTATACCTTTCCACATTTTTCCTTTTTTCGATTCGGCATTTTTCCTGGATACATGACCTATAATATAGGGAGAGTCGTGTTATGGACTGTTATGTTCTTACTGACTACACTGAGAAATGCCACTCACAGGCGATATGACATCTACTGCCCCAAACATGTTCTGAACACCAAAGTGTTTTCGCAGGCGAGCATGCAATACCTCTCACAGGCCATGCTCCATGTGCAATGCTTCTCGCAGGTTAAGTTGCAATACCTCTCACAGGTCATGCTCTATGTTGTAATGCCTCTCACAGGCTAACTCCTCATGCAATGCCTCTCACAGGCTAACTCTTCATGCAATGCCTCTCACAGGCTTACTCCTTATTCAATGTCTCTGATTGACTGAACTGTCAATGATTGACTGAACAGATCGTTAGAGATAATACTCGGTATGATGGTATTCCGAACCCAAATAGGCAACTCTCAGCCACTGCGGGGATAAACATGTCGTCCCTAAGAGGGAGTTCCATCTAGTCAAGGATCCAAGGTTGAGGATAGTGCCCATCAGTGGTTAGAACTGGCCACCAAGGGGCAGAGGACCAAAGGGAACAGTCGAGGTACCATCTTCGCCCCCATACTTCATGTGTTGGAGAACTTTTGGAATAAGATATGGGGGTGGGAAAATCCAGTTAATCTCGCCCGACCAGCTCACTGTAAATGCGTCCACATGCTCTGTCAATGGATTGAGATATCGACTGCAAAATCTGGGGACTTGTCGTGTGCGAAATGAAGAAAATCTGTCCACTGTGTGTGGTCCCCACAATATGTCCAATGCGGCAAAGTAAGTTGGATTAAGCATATAGTCATCAATGTCTGTTTCATGTGACAGCTGGTCAGCCTCGCTGTTAAATTCTCCTGGAATCCACTCGGCCTGCAAGCGCACACCAAATTGGTGACACAGCTGGTATAGTGCCACTGCTTCATCATGCAGGTCTCGATTTCGGCTACCAATCTGCAGTATTGACTCCACATTCTTGTTATCGGTCCTATGCCGCACATCTTTTCCTTGGATTTCTGGAAGGAAAGACGACAATAGGAGATGGGTGGCCCGTAATTCCCTCCATGTCGAGCTTTTAAGTTCTTCATCTGGTGACCAATTTCCCTTGGCAATCCTACCACCCAGCTCAACACTGTAGCCTCCCCAGCCGGTATTACTTGCATCAGAAGTAAATAAGTAAGGTCATTAAGGTGTGTCAAATTGAGAGTATAGTGTCTATAGTGACAAAGTGATAGCCGGAGACTGAATTTGCAGAGACTGAATTTGTTGAAACGGCTGTAGCTAAATAAAAATCGTCCATTGTCCAGGTTTTAGCACAAATGCGTCCAGCCCATCATGCAGTCCAGTCCATAGTCCAGTCCATAGTCCAGTCCATAGTCCAGTCCATAGTCCAGTCCATAGTCCAGTCCATAGTCCAGTCCATAGTCCAGTCCATAGTCCAGTCCATAGTCCAGTCCATAGTCTAGTCCATAGTCCAGTCCATAGTCCAGTCCATAGTTCAGTCCATAGTCCAGTCCATAGTCCAGTCCATAGTCCAGTCCATAGTTCAGTCCATAGTCCAGTCCATAGTCCAGTCCATAGTCCAGTCCATAGTCCAGTCCATAGTCCAGTCCATAGTCCAGTCCATAGTCCAGTCCATAGTCCAGTCCATAGTCCAGTCCATAGTCCAGTCCATAGTCCAGTCCATAGTCCAGTCCATAGTCCAGTCCATAGTCCAGTCCATAGTCCAGTCCATAGTCCAGCCCATAGTCCAGTCCATAGTCCAGTCCATAGTCCAGTCCATAGTCCAGTCCATAGTCCAGTCCATAGTCCAGTCCATAGTCCAGTCCATAGTCCAGTCCATAGTCCAGTCCATAGTCCAGTCCATAGTCCAGTACATAGTCCAGTCCATAGTCCAGTCCATAGTCTAGTCCATAGTCCAGTCCGTAGTCCAGTCCATAGTCCAGTCCATAGTCCAGTCCATAGTCCAGTCCATAGTCCAGTTCATAGTCCAGTCCAGGTTTTAGCACATGCCAAATTTCAATACTATGTGTAATTCAAATTTTGTTTGATATTTATATTTCATGTTATTTACAAAATGTGCTGTAGTTTTGAAGCTTTCCACAGAATATAATCAGTGCGAGCGCAATGGCCCCGTTTTAGTATACAAAAATCGAGTGTTTTGATAGCGTGGGCTTTGAGGCTTTCACGATATATAAATATAAACGCCTGATAATTGATAAATGATCAGTGCGAGCACAACGGCTCCAAAATCAGAACAAATAACAGAATATAAGGTAAGTTTAAAACAGTAAAGCTTTACCTACCTCGACCTATTTTTCTAAGGCGCTCAATTATGTAAATTTTCGGCAAATAATCAATACTTCTTTGCGTTTCCTCGACGAAAACCCGGCATGAAAATGCTCGTCGGAAAAGCTCGGCATTAGTCGTCTTTTACGAATCTGCCACGCGACTGGTACGCTCAGTGTGACCAGACTTTTTCAGCAGTCATTACCAAAATTTTGTTCAAATTTTACTAAATTAAGAAAAATTTTACCAAATGTCGGCTTCCCAAATAATTACGTTGATAATGCCAAAAAACAATAGTTACGTCATCAAAGTAGAAAAAATATTCACAAAAAGTGTCTCGAAATACTTGTTGCTTTCATCGTATTGCAGTTTTTGCTAATGATAAGGCTTTATTTCTTAGGCTTGGCAGTTCTGTTCATCACTTTGAGCACGTTATTAAACAAGAAACACACATTTTTACCAAATATTTTTAATAATTCAAACGTTTCAGATTTTACCAAAATTTTCTTGAAAATTCACAAAATTTTACCAAAAGTAAAACTTTTTACCAAATCTGGTCACACTGCAACTTTGACCAACGTTTCAATTATTGGGGGGTACACCCCCCCCCCCACACACCCCGGTAGCGACATCCCTGATAGTGAATATAGTAAGTGAACCAAGCTAATTTTAGATTTCAGACAGTGGCGTTGCTTCACTGATTGGCATACTCGGCCAATCTGACAACCAAACACCAGACCAAGGCTTTTTCACTCAAATCAATCTGGCTCTTGCCTTGGTTTCAATTAATAATGAGTCCACAATTATCAAGCTGAAATATATTTTATCTTGTTACATTTCTACACATCATATGTAGGGTAATTTTGTCCTGCTTCTAACAACCATGAACAGACAGATTGAACTAACTGTACATGATAATTGTACTATTTTAAATAATTATGCCAGCCAGACATTAACAACTATTTAAAACACAAAACAACTATAATTGATCCAAAAAAAAATTATATGAAATTAAATGCATTTCATTGTGATGTTAACACAAAGTCTATCTTTATAGTGCTTAAAAGATTCCAACAAGATTTCTATTTCTATCTACAGCTTATACAAAAATATGCGTCAACCTTGATGTTTTCCATTTACAGATATACAAAAATATATGTCAACTGACATGTAAATTATTTGATGACAATTTTAATTTCCGGGTTAAGATTCTTTCAATTGTCCACAAAAGCTGTATTCTTAATCGTTTAGCCGCCTTTAGCGAGCGTATTAATATAAATTCACTAATTTTCATAATTCTTCACTCCATGCAATCCGCCATCTTGGATGACAAATCCTCCCCATATGCATACCCTAGAGACGAAATCGCTGCGCAAGCAAGATGCGCAGAACGGCTCAACCATGTTGGGTTTTGGCAGGCATCTCACCGACTTTCTGAAGTATGTGAACTACGAGATGCCTGCAGAGGAGGCTAAAACCAACTATTTATTTTTTTGGCCCAGTGTTAATTTGATGCCACACAGAGTTATTTTGACACTGGTGCCCCCTCATTCCTCACCCATTTTAATTTCTAACAAAAATGTAATATGGTCATGTCACATGTCATGTAGGAATTTTAACTTAGGAACCTAAATCTTACAATTAGATACTAATCCTTTTGATATCCCAACTGATATCCCAAATCTTACAATCCTTTGATATCTCAAATCTTACAATTAGATACTAATCCCTTTGATATAAAAAATGACGTGACACGCTTGCGCGCGAGCAGCGAGTCAAATCGCTTTGCAAAATAACCAAATTTTCACCTCATTTCTTTGTCTTTGTGGGCTAATTTTATAAAATAATTGTGGATAAAGTGCTTTCTTTGGAAGTATTGAGTTTGCTTGGCAAAGTCTTTAATGGTTGATCTGTATTTTTGGTGGATTATTTGTCATATCGCACAAAATTTCAGTACTTGGTTTTAAAGTGTGAAAGCTTGCGAAGTTGGCCGGTTGATTCTGGCATGCGCACATGCTTGCGTGATTCTAAGAACAATTACGAACCACGTACGATTCGAGTGCGTGCTGAAAAACGGTCTTGTATTAGAACAATCATAACACCAATTGTGATTTAATTAGAACTTTTTGGCAAAGACCAAGTAAAAATGTTTAAAACTCGCCAAACTTTCACCATATCAGCATCATTTTGGATCGTGTTTCTTGCACTATTTATCTGGCTATCTACAAGATCTAAGCCGCAGCTTATACATCTGGAATACAGAACACTTCCTCAGAATCTATCCATCTCTTCAGAACTTGCATCACTTCCTAATAGGCTGGGTTGTCTTTGGACTACCACGCACAACAACATTCTAAGAAAATATACCTGGCCTTCTAAGTCTAACTATCGCTATGGTCTGCAACTTAATATTAAGAAAAATACGTTTCATCTATTTTTGTGTATCCTGCTTGCTGGTGATGTTGCCACCAATCCTGGTCCCTGCAAAGATCAACATTTTCGGTGTCTTTCCTTCAATGCTCAGAGCATTCGAAGTAAAATCAAGTTACCTGATGGGACTTTTACCAGCAACTTAAAGATTTTTCAAGATCTAGTTTATGCAGAGAGACTTGATATGATAATGGTGACAGAGACATGGCTTAATAATAACATTACGAATAATGAGATACTACCAAAATGTTATCATTAGCTGACAAATGTGGAGGTGGAGTTCTTATAGCGCTACGTGATGACATTGTTTACAACTGAATAACCTCAAGGAAAAACTGCCCAGATTGGTCGGATCGTTTAGAGATCATCGCACTCGAACTTGAGCTATTAAAATTCAAAGAAATCTCTAGTGTGTGTTTGTTATCAACCACCTAGTTGCAAATTAGACGAATGGCTCGAATCGTTCACAACATTTCTGCAAGAAACATCACACTGCGATAAAGTCCTTATCACCGGTGACTTCAACTTCCCAGATTTAACTTGGAACTCCAGCCTGGTGCCTACCAAATCAGAAAGAAGTATCTCGGCTGGATCATCTGAATTTAGAGAACTTGCGTTTGATTTTTTCTTCCACCAAGTCAACATGTACCCTACCAGACAAAACAACATTCTAGACCTCGTCCTAATGAACGCTCCTGAAAACATTGTCAATCTCCTGTGCATTTCTGCCAAAACAATGGATCTCTCAAGTGACCACAACCTGATGTTCTTTGACATCTTACTTCATATTAAATCAACATGTTTTGACAAGAGAACTGTTTTTGATTTCCACAATGCAGACTGGAACGGCCTATATCACGCCCTTAACCACATCAATTTATTACCCAACGAGTCGAGCGATATCAACAATGATTGGAAGCAATGGAAAGACCTCTTCCTTGGTGCAGCAACTGATTATATTCCACTCAAAACCTTCAAACGGCGTAGCTCTCCTCCATGGATTGACGGTGAAGTCAGGCGTCTTCTCTCAAAGAAAGACTCATGTAGAAAAAAGGCGAAACTTTCCTCATCTTCATCTGCTAATCTCTGGGGAAAATTCTGTGATCTTCGATGTGCGGTCAAGACATTAGTAAGAACCAAGCGAAGAAAGTACTTCCACAAACTTCCATCTCTGCTAAAATCGAGTAGTAAAAAGTTCTGGTCTGTCTCCAAATCTACCTCGAAACATTCTAACATTCCCAGTAAAATGTCGTGGACCCAACAAGATTCAACTTCCTCCACAGCTGAAAACCCTGCCGACATTGTCGACCTGTTAAACCGTTACTTCTACTCGGTGTTCAAATATTCCGATACTACTGATGACCATTCCCCTTCTGTTGCTCCTGATAACGACACGACTGATCTTACCACCATCTCGTTAACAGAAGAGGAAGTATGTGTTGTACTCCAAGCACTGGATGAAGCCAAAGCCACCAGCCCCAACAAAATCCCAGCGTTACTGCTGAAGAACTGTGCAGTTAACATCAGTTCATCTCTATGCCAGCTGTTCAACAAGAGCTTATCTTATGGAATTCTGCCTGTCCAAATGGAAACTGGCCAACATCAGTCCAATTCCAAAAAGAAACCCTATTGATGACGTAACCAACTACAGACCAATATCACTGTTGTCATTAGTTTCGAAAGTGTTTGAACGCTGTATATATAATAGACTTATAGAACACGTATACGGTCAAATTTACGAACTGCAGTACGGTTTTCTTAGGGGCAGATCTACAACATCGCAGCTGCTACACATTCTCCATCAAGTTCTTAACGTACTTGAGCAAAAGACCAAGTTGACATTGTCTACCTGGACTTTGCCAAAGTTTTTGATTACGTAAATCACGATCTATTACTGGTGAAGCTTCACAACTTCGGTATAAGAGGAAATCTTCTTCGTTGGTTCAGAGACTTCCTTTCTGGGCGATTCCAGAGAGTCACTGCGCTTGGTGTTACATCAAAACCACTTCCAGTTCTATCAGGTGTTCCCCAGGGATCAATTCTTGGGCCACTTCTATTCATAATTTACATCAATGATCTCCCGAAATGTGTCTCACACGATACTACCATGGCAATGTTTGCTGACGATACCAAATGCCACCATCCTATTAAAAATTCCCAAGATAAGGTAACCCTTCAATCCGACCTGGACAACATTACCAACTGGTGTCACGACTGGGAAATGGAGTTAAATCAAAGTAAGTGTGGAGTGCTACATCTTACAAGATCTCGTGAACCAACCATCACACAGTATACGGTGCTTGGTACCCCAGTTATCCGACCTAACAGTCAGAAAGGTCTTGGCATATCTATAACTGGTGACCTCAAATGGAACAAGCAAGTGCAGGAGAGTGCTGGGTTTAGTGATGCGAACAACGTAGATGATTGGTAACCAATCGGTCCGCAAGGCACTCTACCTGACTTTGGTTCGCAGTCAACTGGCATATGGTTGTCAAGTGTGGGCACCCCAGACGGTCAGCAACATTCTCACCATCGAACATGTTCAGCGCCGTGCCACCAAGTTCATCCTGTCTCTGCCGTACCAAACAGATATCTCGTATAAAGAAAGATTGCAGATCCTTGGCATCATCCCTCTATGTTACTGGCATTAATATTTAGACATCATTTATATCTATAAAAGTCTCATAAATGACTCTGACAGTAATATCTCGGTCAAAGTTTCAACACGAGAAACAAGAAGAGCAAGTATGGAACTTTCCTAACTGTGAGAAAGTGCAGAACTGTCAACTACCAGAACAGTTTTTATATAAGAGCCGCGAGCGTGTGGAACACTCTTACTCGTTATATTAGAGACACAACTAAGTCTATAGGATCATTCAAAACATTACTACGCAAGCACTATAAAGATCTAACGGACAGTGTTTTCAACCCCGATGACCCGAGAACTCTTAAGTCAGTTTGTGTGAAATGTCACACAAGTCGTCCTTTATGGGACTTATTATCTAGACCATGTTGTTAGGTCAATCAAACCTTATATAGTGATCCCTTATTGTGTGTGCCAAATGCAATTACCATAATGCTATAATGAATATTACTTTATCTTATGGTTCAACTCTATGTACGAGAGTACGAGCATTGCATTTTGGCGGTTGAGGACGGTGTGCGTAATAGGGAAAGCAGTCATTAAACTTGCTCGATACATAAACAATCTTAACAGCTTCAAATTACTCTAGTACTTCATTCACGAGTTCAGAATTTCAAACAGGATCTCATTTTGTTGCCTTATCATTGCTTGTTTCAATTTGTGGCCTGTTAATTTGTTTATCTGTTAATTTGTTTATCTGTTTATTAGTATGTCTAATATCTGTCACGCCATAGGCATAGTGTAAATTATTGTTATGTTTATGTATGTTGTGGAACCCCCGTTATTGGAGATTTTATCTCTGTGTGGTCATTCAGCCATTGTGTGTAATTTATAGTTAGTTTATATCTTTAATAATGGCAAATTTGTAAAAATAAAAAATACAAAAAAACAACAAAAACTGCATTCCAGTGGCACAATCACAACCAGTGGCACACCACCCCCAGGCACCAATTGTGGTGTTCATATGAGCTGAGCTGGCATGTTTTACCAGGGAAGGTACAGTACAGTAAATACGTAGCTGGACAGAAATCCCTCAGCATCAGGATTAAATTAATTATTTCCTATTTGATATGACTTTTGGATGTTTTGATGATAAAAACCTTTGATTGATTGCCCCTCGTAAACAACATGCAGAATAGTAAATGACAATAGATCTCAGCAGTGCATCAACAAACCAACCATCCTCATATGACAGTCCCATATGTTTACAGTAACAGGCAAAAGTTACCAGAATTTAATTGATTTATTACTGGTAAAACTTTTCCACTGTGCTTGGATATTACAAATAAACTTTTCTATCTTATAGTATGAAAAATTTCGATTTCTATGTGTATTGTTTTATATTGTATAATTTAACATAAAATAGCCAGCAAAAGTTAGATTTATTGTATATAAGACCTACAAAGATTTGAGATGTATATTATATTTAATAAATTTAAATGAATTAAAACATATTCTGGCTTACTCTTTGTGAGGAGTTCCCGAAGGGCAGCGATAACTTCTTCCTTGTTGATCTTTCAACATAGGACCAACTAGAGAAAGGGCAGTCTTGTTTGTTAATGCCTCAAAAGTCTTTGTGAAGAGTTACACACAAAATTTGTTCAATGCTCCCGTCAAACATGAGCTTGCCCAAAGCCTCCACAACCTCATGACAGCATCTGAATTCCAGTGTGCCAACAAGCCTTTCATCAGAACATTTCCTGCATAAACTCCTGAGTATAAAAAGCATTGAATACTATTTAGTCAAAATATTGCGGAATCAAACGTATGGGTTTTCATTCTTGATTACAGGATGACTTACCAAGAATCAGACTTTACTTTTCGATCAAATCTATCTTCCAAAACTGCTGGTGTCAAACCATCCAGATCATGCTCAGTTTCTTCATTATTTTCACTCATTACATCTTCGCCTTTGTGAACAAGATGTTCATCTTCATATGGCCGAAACTGGCAGCTATAAACCTCGTCATTTGAATCAGTATTATCCGAAAAAGAACAGGATTGTATTGTCGCTTGAAGACATATTTACATATACGGAATATATAAAAACAAAGTCACATGCCTTGTTTTTTTTGTCCCACTCAAGCCACACAACTTTCACTGGTCCCCAGTCCTAGGACCATATTTTTAAAGGAAAATACAATGTTTAGATGATAAAAAGTATGTTAAATAATTTGTTTTTGTTGGTTTCAGTATCAAATTCATACTCCCCACCCTCGAAAGTACAATAAAGGATAAAAAAATTTTGTTTCATAAGCACTTTAGACCTTGTGTCAAATGGGCAGCCTACGTCCACTATTATTATTATTATTATTATATTAACTCTGTTATATTTAGTGTTGAGAGGTGTGTCGCTGAAATCGAAACATGGATGACCTGCAACAAAACTTACAATGAATAATGAGAAAAAGTTATTGTAATTTCATCTCCTTATTGTCCACATCCTTTCATTGATGGTCTTCAAGTTTCTGGTCAAATGGCCGTATGTTCGTCGATGGTAAAGAATATTGGGGTTCTTTTTGACAAATATCTTTCCCATGTCAGTTCCATCTGCAATATTTCGAAAATTAGGAAATGTCTTGCTGAGGACATGACAAAGATCATTATCCATGCTTTTGTGACATCGAAATTGGATTATTGTAACTCTTTGCTATATGGTCAACCTAAATATTTGATTAAGAGACTTCAATCAGTTCAAACTGTGCAGGTAATTTTTCAATGTATGATCATGTGACCCCTCTACTATGGAGTTTACATTGGCTCCCAGTTGAACAAAGAATCAAATTTAAACTTTTGATTATAACCTTTAAAGCTCTTAAGGGACTGATGCCACCTTCGTTCAGCTGACCAAAGTCTTCTTTGTCAACCAAAATTTAATCTAAAGACGTTTGGAGCATGCTCCTTTTCCATCTCAGCACCTACCTTATGGAACTCAATGCCTTTCGAATTGAAGAAGATAGACTTGTATAGTACTTTTAAGAAATATCTTAAGACATGGCTTTTTAATCTTAGTTTTAGTAATTAGGTTTGAATTGTTTGGTTTTATATGTTTTTATAGCTAATGGGTGTTTTCACTTCATTTCTTTATCTATGTAAAGCGCTATTGAACTTTTGGAAATGGCGCTATGTAAAATGACAATTATTATTATTATACTGTGAACTGAGCAAGACATGCTTTGTCTTGGAGTTACTTGCTATTGCACAAATAGCAGAAATAAAGGCTTAGAAATATTGCTGAAAGCATGGGGAAGCGAATGGTGCTATCTGGTTGTTATTTTGGCTATTACATCTGGCTATTGGGGCGAAGTTTCAGGTGTTGTTTGCCACACCATAATAAGGATTTCAAAAGTTTATGTTGCCATATTTGGAGATGTAAATCAAAGGTCGTAATTGACACGGCTCAAATTACTGACACTCAATCATCCGATAGCATGTCTAATGAGATTGAAATTGTTGAGCGGTCCTTAGCCAACAACAAAAGAGTTGAATCAACTAATGATCCTGATATTCGAGAGAACAATGTGAACGGAGAGTATTTGTAAGGGTTTGAGAGGTTTACAAACGCATAAACGTTCCTGTAGAATCCTCGACTTATCACATATAAAAGCTTTATTTGAAAACCCAATTGTGCATGAGGAGAATGCAGAAGAGCCGGTTGATGAAGTAACTAATTATTATGAGATCGCTGCCATTATTAGGAAAATGGGAGCATTGGCCTCACCCTGTCCTTTTGATCAAGTGAGCATGATTGTACTGAAAAAATGTCCCACTCTTTACTGTCTTATGGCAAATTATCAAGCATATACCAGCACAATGGAAAGTGGGTTTGACCGTATTGGCATACAAGAAGAGCCGAACGGATAACTTAAATATGAGTGACTTTATTGTGAGTCTGTATGATGGCTTCACAATCTCTGTTGCAACTGATCAATTCACACAACCTATTGAGGTACAGAGAGGGTACTGCAAGAAGACAGTCTGTCCCCACGGCTGTTTAACTCTTTCTCAGCGGGTCCCGATAAACGTAGACCGTGCACGATCTATGGCACGGTCTATGACTTCGCCGATTCATATCTTCGGTTTGGTGCATGCTATGTAGATGAAAATACCACCATTCGATTCAGTAAAACAATATCTCCTAATTCCTATCGACAGTTTTATTTAAATATAGTTTTAGTGAAATTGTATAACTATTTATGACCTTTTGAGAGGTCATGCGGTGTCATATTTCATTATATTAATCAATTGTCTCGAAAAATGTAAACTATCCATACCTTTCGCCGAACATAACTTCGGCCCCTTTGAAGATATCGTTTTCGCTATAGTCTTATTCGAACCAGAATCTAAAACACTATTTAAAGTGTTATTTTCAAGCTTGTAGGATTAGTCTTTCGTCTTTTATTTCGGTATTTCAATCTGTTGTGATACTAGTGAAGTCAGCGGGATATTTTCGACCGGAAATACACTTTAGATCTGCGAAAACATCGCGTGTTTACATCCTAGCGCTCGGAAAACGTCGGCAATCGATTCTATAGGTCAAATTACATCTGCAGCATGATTTTCACATGCATTGGGCTACGGGTTACTCCTTATTGGCCAATTTTACGTGCAGCACGCGCGTGTGAGTAAAAAACCCGATGAAACCCGATATTTTGAAAAATTCAAAATAAACATTTCTACTCGCCGTATTCAAACGAAACTTTCTACATAAAAGCACTTGAATACAAGGAATATTTCACTCATATTAACTTGTGGCGAATTCTGAAGAGTTTAGATGCCTTTAGAAGATATTCAACTTTTTCTCCATATGAAAATACAGAATGTTTGGCCAAGCGGTGAGAAAATATACGATTGGTTTCGGTTTGTGTATTTGTTTTGACGGCATTGAACCCCCCGATGAAAAGGTTATTTTGTTAGGATTTCAATGGTGTTCTTTGTTTTAAAGGGGGGTGAATACGCGCTGAAATATTTACGTTATAAAACAATTGAATCAAAATGTCGCTTGTCGTGAAAAATGTAGCCGGCTGAGAAAGAGTTAACATGTGCTTCAATACCCTCATGAAAACAGTGGACCAAAAAAAAAAAAAATGTACCTATATATTCGGAAACACTCTCTGTCCTTGAAATTGGCCCCATTACACCCAAGAAGTAAAATTTCCATTGTCATGGCATACATGTATATAAGATAAGTTTGTTCTTATTGTGCTACCACTTGGATCTAAACTGATAGCCTTGTTTTGAGGTATATTTGATTCTGGGTCAATTTCCACCCTGGAGCTAATACATGTCATTTAAGCCTTTGCATTCAAAAAGCTGGGACTTAATATTTTATTGCCATCGCAGGTATATCATCAGTGTAAAGTAACTGTCCATCGAATATTGCGTTCATCAAAGGACAGCAATATCTGATCGTTGTATGTTGAAACACATAATGGAAATATCAATGCTGATGAAATAGTGGAAAACGCTCAATCAGATAAAGGGAAAATTTAGCAGTTTTAAATTGGGAGAAATTTATGGATCTGAAGAAACAGAATATTATAGTAAAATTTCTCACAGAAAACTGTAATGCATCAAGTCCTGGAACAAGATAGTAAACTCTCTTTCACAAAATTTATTCAGGTTCCTACACGCCTGACAAAAATGCATGCCAAAGCGCCAACATGCTTCAATTTCTTAATTTTCATCCTGTTTCGCCAAAATTTCCCATAAATTTAGAGCATGTTATTCTTACAAATCGTATGTTTTTTGAATTGCTACATTTTTGGCAGGAAAATTACATCACAAACTTGCCGATAAAAAATTAATGGTTAGCTATTGTTAATTTTAAGCACTTATTCGGCAGACAACATTGAGAGAGTCATAAAACTGAACACTGTTTCTAAATATAACTATTTCTTGTGAAGATATAGCGGTACAAATGTCAAAAAATCGGTCATTTTGTTACTAAAAATAGAAGAAAATTGCTGATTTTTAGAAATTTGAGTCATATGATATCTTTGCAAGGAATGGGTTGTATTTCGAAACAGACTTCAATTTTAAGACTCTCTCAATGTCGTCTACTGAATAAGTGCATAAAATTAACAATAGCTAACTGTTAATTTTTTAGTGGCAAGTTTGTGATGTAATTTTCCTGCCAAAAATGTAGCAATTCGAAAAACATACGATTTGTAAGAATGACATGTTCTATGTTTATGGGAAATTTTGTAGAAACAGGATGAAAATTAAAGAAATTGAAGCATGTTGGCACTTTGGCATGCATTTTTGTCAGGCGTGCTAAGGTGGGCCTTGATATTAGCATTACCTACCAACAAAAATCTGAAAACCTGGAATTTAATCCCCACTGAGTTTTGCCTGTTGTGTAAAGGGGATGTCTATATGCAGCACCACATTTTAAACAATTGCCCTGCAGCAGCCAGCCAACAGCACTACTTGTGGAGACATAACTCGGTTCTGAATTGCATTATGTACTGCCTATTCTCACTATTTACCACCAATAGAGGCTTTATAAATGTAGATATACCCGGTAATGTGTTGGGCAGAACTTCAAAATTGTTCTGGAACTGACGGTTTGCTTTGAAATCAACCTTCTGAAGTTACAGAAATACAAGAAAAATAGATATGCGTACTTAAAGGAAAACATCATTGACAAAAGTAAAGAAGTGTATTTGATTTTCTTGATGGTTCCTCATTAGGATTTTATAGTAGGGAGTTTAGGCACTTTAATAATAATAATAATAATTATATTTATCCAGGATATCCACATCACTTACGTGTTTTTCAGTGGGGTCCTGCATCAGAATTACAAGTATTTACAATATTAATTATTGTCAATATTTAAATTGCACAAAAATATACAAATATATACATGCACGTTACAACGATGATAATGTGAAAGATCCTAAGCTAAATCCTAAACAAATACTCAAAAAATGTGTGGAGCCATGTATTAGAAAGCTCCTATTATATATACAACAGAAGAGCAAAGGAATGGACAATTCCGGAACTTCTGCTATTTGTGTAAAGTAAATGAAAGCATTGCAGTAGATGCCCTTTTATAGTGCCTAGATTACAAAATTTAGATGCACTTCAGTGTGAAGACGGATCTAACATTGTTAACCTTGGAAGAGATGACCAGGCTGGATTTCGGCTAGATACAATGGCTTCTCACAGATTTCATGGTACACTGTGCGTAGAGGGAAACGAGCCACTCACAACTAGAACTGATTATGTTAACAAATATCCATCTACTTTGCAAACAACCTCGTACAACTTTGCAGGCACTAAAACCACAGGAGAAGTGTGTATGGGTGTAGTCAAGGCTCCAGTATTGTTTAACAAGAATTCTCTGCAGCACTTCGCAGATCTGGAACTTCTTTCACAGAAAAAACACTCTAAGTCCGCATTTATTAACCCAGTTACAGGAAAAAAGAAAGAAATCGAGTGCGTAAGAGTCGATGGTGGGTATGACGAGGGTCCTTCACACCTTGAGGTACAATACTGGTGGACTGTGCGTCATCTAAAGTGTAGTAGCCATGCTGAGCTAGTGACTTTGAGGAATAGTAGTGCTAGTTTACGAAATCGTGTTGAATTACAAAATGGTTGTCTGGCCCTTTGTCATGCCAATCTCTTCATTCCATCTACGCTGCATGGGTCTTGTACTCTTGAATCTGGCAAAGTAAACGAAGAAGTTTTGAAAAATAATCTGGGATCCGCAATTGATGTATACATATCACACGTTGACGTACCCCATGTGCCTCTACAGAAATCCATCTAGTTAAAAGAGCAGAAAAAACGCTTATCAAGAAGAAAACGAATTACTGAAAGTCTTTCTGAAAGGGAAAAAGAATGAAAAAAGAAGAGCTGGAAAGATCTAATCCACAAATGTATTCAAAATTTCAGAAAATTTGGAAACTGCGTGAAATGCACATGTATAAAGGTCTTCCAGCAAAGTACGTCTTCTTCCTCGTTTGTTGCCATCAGAAAAACTGCATACATGAAGCATGTAAGAAAGGAAAACCTGAAAAAGAAATTCTGTGGTATCCTGGTGGTCCACCTATTTCATTTTTTCCAATGCCTCAACCTGACAGATCTCATGGCTGTTCCTCATGCACGAACTGTACTGCAGGCACATGCAATGGGCATTACCTAAAACCACAAGCGTTGTTAGAGCTTCAAACCACACAACATATACTGCACCAGTGAATGTCGAAACATACATATTCCCATCTTGATCAAAACATAATGCCACCGGCTGCTTGATTTCTCTGTCAAAGTCAATATGCAAAGGGAGGTTTCTGCGGTGTGTCGTCTGTTGTGTTGGATTTGTTTCCGAAGCAACTCTGTTGTTTAAGGCTTCTCTAAGCTTTTCTTGAAGATATTTTTTGGGTTTTCTTTTATAATCTTCATTCCATGCACCAATGTCTTTCAACTTCTTCTTAAGTTTCTCGACAGTTAACTTGTTTACATCGACAACTGTCTCCCCTGTTAAATCTTTAAAGGCAATTGTGTTCCGTTGAGATTCTACACAGTAATGTATGTCTTTAAAAACAGCAACTCCAATAGGATGTTCTAAATTATCCATTTCCACAGTAACATTTGCTGGATAGTGATTCGCTCGCACCTTGTATACCTTACCTTGAACAACATCACTGACAAATATGTGTCCTAAGAGACCCATGCATGTTCCAATGGGTGCCTTAAAAACTCCGCTTTTGTTGTCCTCCCTTAGCCTGTACTTCTCAGGTACCACAGTGTGAGTTACAGTTTTAGCATTATCTGTAAGAATCTTTCTCACCAATGGACTCGAGATCTCCATTATAGATTCGACATCTTGACGATCACGATTCCTAACTGCACTAAGTGGTAGCAAGGGTGCTAGCTTTGAATGTAAGGCGTGGTCATTTCTTAGCTCCCTGAGTTGAACCAAATTTATTCGGTAGTTATTTACTAACAGGAACCAATTTGAGAAACTCTGCCGTTTTCTCTTAGAACCATGTACACCATCAGGAATGGGAGATATGATTGATAAAAACAGGTCAGACTGTTCGTCGTTTACTCTCACAAGCTCTTTTTGTGCACCAGAATTTCTTGATTCAGAATCCTCTGAAACACACACAACTGCTGCTTTAATGCACTGAATTTCTTTTTCCAGACAAGAATCACAAGGTCGCAAAGCAGGTTCGGTAACAGTGTGGCCTTTGTCACTGCAAGCATCACAGACAGTTCCTAATTCAGTGCAGATTGCACAGTGACTGCAACAGGTTTTTTGAACGATAATGCTATCAGTTCTGCTGTGTTGCAAATGGTCAAGGCAAACATTTATCTCTTGTGTTTCATTCTTCATCATATTGAAAGTATCTAACGCTGTAAGTCCTTTGATTAAATGATTTACACCGACAGGAAGGGAAAACTTTGCATCAAGAGTCGTTAAGCACATGGCTTCTGCTTCTTGTACAATTGAACTTTTCAGGGTATCTTATCTTTTTCGAAATCCTAATGAACTCGGGATTGAAAAACTTTCTTAAGTTAAGAAATTTTTTTAGTGATTCTCAATATGGTTTTCGCGAACAACATTCTACACAACATGCTCTTCTTGATATTATCAATAAAATCCAAAGTAACATGGATAATAAACATTTCTCTTGTGGAATATTTATCGACTTAAAAAAAGCGTTTGATACTGTCGACCACGACATTCTGTTATGCAAATTAAAGTACTATGGTATAAGAGGTGTTGTCAATGATTGGTTTTCCTCTTACCTAAAAAACCGCTCGCAAACCACTCTTGTAGGAAATTGTATATCTGATAAAGAGGAGACCCTATGTGGAGTACCTCAGGTTCTGTTCTTGGACCTCTTCTTTTTCTAATTTACATAAATGATATTTGTAATTCATCTAAGGTATTTAATTTCTTTCTCTTTGCGGACGATACCAACCTATTATATGCTAACAAAAGTTTAAAAACTTTAGAATCAGTGGTAAATTTCGAGTTGAGGGAAGTTTGTAAGTGGCTAAATGCTAATAAACTAACATTAAATATAAAAAAATCAAATTTTGTAATCTTTCGACCATCGCAAAAACCAATGACCTATCAGCCTACTATTAAACTTTTTGACAATAATTCAAAAAAATACATACCTCTCGAAAGTAAGGATTATATAAAATATCTTGGCATTCTCATTGATTGTAATTTGTCTTGGAAACAACACATTAATTACATTGCATTAAAGATTAGCAAAACTGTTGGAATCATTGCAAAAGTCCGACATTATGTCCCATTCCATACCTTAATGAACATATATAAGTCATTAATTCAGCCATATCTATCATATGGAGTTGTTGCATGGGGATATGCAGCCAAAAAATATACGGACAAACTTCTCAAACTCCAGAAACGTGTGCTGAGACTTATCTACTTTAAAGACAATCGTGACCACTCTATCCCTCTATTTATCTCTTCAAACACCCTCCCTATCAACATGCTATACATTAGAGAATCCGCTAACTTGTTACATGATATTTCTAATGAAGTTGCACCAATTGCTCTTCAAGAATTATTTACCAAAACATGCGAGATTCATAGATATAATACGAGAGCAGCTGCGAACAAGAATTTTTACATCAATTCTTCACGATTAGAAATCCAAAAACGCTCATTTTCGCGATTTGGTTCTTTTATCTGGAATAGTATTTCTCCAAGTTTCCGTGTGCAAAGGAAACATACCTTCAAAACCAAATTAAACAAAACACTTATGACAATTCTACAGAAGGAAAATGACCATATTGATCTGCCCTTGATAATTAAACAGATTGCCTATTGAAACCAAACCATCCTACAATTGATTGTATAATCTCAATTTTTGTGGTTAATTATATAATTATGTGCTCAAATTCATTCCTATATTTAGCACTTTAGCGAGATTTCAATAAATTACCAATTTATTAACTTTACATAAGCAAATATATTGGCTTCAGCATGCAGTTCTGCTTGTAACTTTGTAAACCTGCAATTATTTAACTTATTAAGTTCTTTATCTTGTAATTCAGTCATTTCTATAATTATCCCCCTCTCATAATTACATTATATCACTACCCGCCCCGATTAGCTTGGCTACTTGCGGCTAGTGAAAATTCATGTAAATATATCTGTAACTGGAAATAAATATGTATGTGTATGTATGTGTGTATGTGTGTGCCTATGATTAACCCTAGTGATATAAAGGTACATACAATACAACATCACTGTAACATAGGTGATCATGATTACATTAAAATTTTTGCACCTTAAACAATTTTAAAAATTTGTATATTTATATATTTCCTCAAGCAATCACTGGGCAATTTCAATGTACAATTTTTTTCAAAAATCATTTATAACTGGCAAAGTGGTACTAATTAGTACACAGTATAGTGTTGCGACAGCATTGTTGTTGGATGTACCAATGTCAACTAGCGTGGAGGGTTATTAGATTACTAGGAAGGTATTATAAAACAATAAGTATAGTACTTGTTTCTTTTGCTAATGTTCCTTAAATTGGAACGTCTCTAGGTAGTCTTATTTTACTGTTGCAAGTTTATCTTTTGTCTCTGTTACAAGCACATTCTAGGATCTTAATCTCGATTTTGGAAATCAGATTTTGTTTTTGGTCGTTTGACTTGAGTGAAAGATCGAAGTATTTTACGCTGTTGGTAATACTCACAGAGATCGTGGATATCATACATAATTGGGTGATTGACGGCAATTTTTCAAGGATCTCTTATACTTCAGCAGCGTGTTCACTTTTGTGTTCTCCACACTCAACGTCAACGTCAGATAAATCATCGCTCCTAGCATCATTCTGTTTCCTTCGTTTTGCAGTCATTCTTGAGACGAATCCCTTAATTTGTAATGCATTCAACCACTCATGTCTTGCAAACAATCAGTCACCGTTCTCATTTCTTGCTGTGTGCTAACTTCATGGGCATCATTGACTTGGTAAAATTGCTCTCCGTCGGTCGTGCAAATTCCTGTAGAAGACTGATCGGTCACGTTATATGTCTTCATATTTAATCAATTTCCCAGGGCCAATGCCATGGGCTTTCCACACCGTCATTCCATCCTTTTCGTAATTAAAATTATGGTATGCACTGATGTTTGGAATATCTTTCATTTCAAGGCATTGCTTTGGTGTTTGTATTAAACACAGATCTTTCCTCACTTTATTGCAAGAATCACTTAAATTTATCAAATAATAATGGGGCATCGTTGATGGCCGTGCGAAGACATATTTTATAAGCTATGTTAAATAAAATGTTTAGAAATATTCAATAATATACACATAAGACACTATTCTTTCGCTGTGGTGTATTCTCTTTTACAACAGTCACACTACTTTTTAAGACAAAGCCATGAAAGAGCTGCATTTTTATTCCTACAAAACGGCAGCCAAAGGTTAATTTTGCTAGTGAAATTTAACAGAAGATAAAATATTTTAAACACAGATTTCGAAGAACTCGTATGAACGAATATACATGACTACCCCTAATTCTTCACACTAAAGGAAATTTAGAGAATCCAACATTTTATCTCAGATTGGCTGGTTAGTTCTTACAGACAGAGCCTCTTAATGGTTAACAAGACACATTGTTACAAATTCTGTATCAATAAAGTATGGATGTAAGGTCTCAGAGGTTCATCAACATATGAGACAAAAATAAACAACATGGGAAAGTGTTACAGAAAAGCAAACAAGAACATATTTGAGGACTATGTTTTGAGGCCAGTTTTAAACTTAACTTAAATGTCAGTTATGGTTATTATCTATGGTTTAGCCCATTAAGCACCAGGGCTCCAACAAGTAAAACCATTACCATATTAAAAATGTAAAGTATGTGCTAAAAGACTCTGAACTAAGATCTGCTTTATTTGTTTAGATTTGATAATATACAGGTAAAATTTCGACTACAATGATGTTATTACACAAAGGACCTAAAAAAGCAAAGTTGGTAGTTTAATTGCAGCTTTCATAAGAGCGAAACCTGACAGCACAACAAGGCATTGCTCTTCACGATTGAATCCCATTTTACTCTAAAATTTTTTTGTCCATAAATATTAGTGGTTTACTGTGCATATAAAACAGATTTCTTGTGTGGTTGCCAGACAGCACACTCTGAACGACAATGTTTTAAACTAGCAAGATTAATAGATTTTTACACTGATGCCGTTGAAACAAACAAACGTGAAACAACTTATTCCATTAAATATTATAAACCTAAAAAAATATCTGCATGAAAAACTATATTAGCTAGGGGGTCTATTATAGTTTCGCGGGTTATGCGGATTTAGCCATATTTTGAGGTCGGATTTCGGATACGTCCAGTTATTTTGTACGGTTTGCGGTTAACTGGAAATCGTGCGGAGACGGAAAATGTCGAAATTAACCCTCCGGATTCAGTTATTGACCAAAATAAATAGCGGTTTTCGGATAGTTTTTAACATGCTGTTAAGAAATATTTTACGAGCTCATGGCAATAATTCAGTTCATGGCATTCATCTTCCAATCACGCGTGTGTGTTGTTCCACAGCAACCTCGTACCCAGGGCTTTCTACTTCCACGGTTGGATGGTCAGCGAAAAAGGCCTGATTGGTCAATGATTTTTAATGTATTTATTCAATATATGTGGGAATAATGATTATTTTGGTGGAACGAGAGTGGAGTGACAAATTTATAATTAGTTCTCGAAGGACTAAAGTATTGAGCAAATAAGATTTTTGACATTTCGCTTGAGATACAGCATGAATTAGGGAAAGACAATACATCATAAAACAATTTGGTCCAAATTATGTCTTTGTACATTTTGTCAGACGAGTATTTGCTTCGGTTGAACATACATTTCTTACATGCATTGTTTACACATCGTTGATTTCAAGCAATGTACAGCATAGTCAAATAAAGATTGTGATACGAATATATTTGCTCATATTAAACACGATTTATATAAACCAAACACTGAAGCGGTTTTGTTTTGTTTAGTTACTTATTAAGTTATGTTTAAAAGTCATCAATATTACGGGATATGTTGCTGAATGAGGTGTGAACAACGAAAACCGAATAAAGTTGACTTATTTTGTTGCTTACTCTTTGATTATATACGCAGCATTGAGTTTGTTTACTGTCAGTATTAATTACAATGTATATAATTATTCTATATACGTACTTATACGCATAAAGTATCATAATTGAACACCCCAAATACTGGAGATTTTGAGGTGATGTGACCGGCCGATGCCCGGGCCATTTTCGCTGATCGGAAACAAAATGCCCTGGGTACGAGGTTGGTTCCACAGGGTCTCGAAATGACGAAAGCAAATAGGCAAAGTGGCCGGGCTATTAGTAAAATCAGGAACACCAGAACATGGAACAGCATCATACCAGAATACGGAACACCAGAACACCA